CATGACCCCCTCAGGGGTCCCAACCCCGGGTTGAGAAACACTGTATTACACTATGTGTCATGATTTTTGTTCCTGGGTTATAAATGTCATTTTCTAATTGGTTCTATCATAAAACATGGGGAAAGTTTATTAAATCGCAAAAATCCATTTACTTAAGAAATATCATAGATAGTTCTCTAATTGCCAGGCTCTCTCTCACACAGCTGGAAAGGAGATTCTTGGAATTAAAGGCCATCCATTTATCGCTTTTCAAAGCCATGGACCTGTTCTCTGTGCATGTTTGTTGGCATTCCCCACATCACACCCATGAAAGCTGTAAAAGAAAGCAGGGATGGCTCCATCCAGATATTCTGGTGTGGTTTTTCCTTTGGCTCACAGGAGACGCTGTGTTTGTTAACAGAGCTGGAAAGCAAGGATACACAAACAAAGACAACAAGAAGGTGACTGTCCCCACTGGTAACCTAGAGGTGGGATCAGACACCCAGGAGCAAGAAGAAAGGAAGGTTGTGCTCAGGTCTGAATAAACTTTGAAAAGCCTCTGGCCAGGTTCCTGCTTCACAGTCTACGTTCTGTAAGTTTACAAATTCACTAACCCTGTGAGTGAATTGCAAAGATGTAGGTTGGGCCTGTTTGATCCACCTTGGGTCCTTCTAATATTGTGCCATCGCACCTGAGGGCTATAACTCTTAGTGAAAGAGGCATGGACATGACATCTTTCCCCCAGGGTATTGCTTCTTGCCCTCCTTTAGGAAACTGGAACTCTCAAAGACCCAAACACTGTAGATAACTCAAAATAATTGAGTTTATTGTTCACAAAGAGTTATCTCTTTAAGGCAATAAGCTGGAAGTTTCAAAGGGGTGAAGGAAAATATACATCATAGTCTCTGTTTGTCTTGGATCCAAAGAGTTTGCAGCTGAGGAGCTTTTCCAAGTTTCCTCTTTCCTGGCTGTGAATATCGGAATAATCACAACCCCAATTCCAATAGCCTATATTTTGAAGGCACAAAGCCTTCCTCTGGTGCCAAAGAACTGGTTTGAAGGTGCTTGAGACTTCTCAACGTCATCCAGGTTGGTCTGAACATGAAGCATAAGTCTCAAGGGTAAGTACCTCAGAATTGGTGCTGAGAGGTAACTTAATCAAGGGCTTCCAAGCCAAGTTTCTCTCTCACGTCCATTTGATAGAAAGTTTGATGGTGGAATGGAAAAGGAAACACTGCCTGCTCTCTAGGAAGAGGTGGGGTCAAACAATTGAGCATCAGATGGATGTGAGAGAGAGACTTGGCTCTGAAGCCCCTGATTAAGTTACCTCTCAGCACCAATTCTGAGGTTCTTACCCTTGAGACTTATGCTTCATGTTCAGATCAACCTGGACGACGTTGAGAAGCCTCAAGCGCCTTCAAACCAGTTCTTTGGCACCAGAGGAAGGCTTTTTGTCACAAACCCGGCTACGTTATCAGGAGCACCATTTAAACAAACAGAAATGAGCCCGCCAATGTCAAGAGCACAATATCAGAGAAGCCAAATCTTGGAGTCCTTGGAAGTCAAGCTGGAATAACGACGTCAGGTCCAAAGTCAGAAGCACGAAGTACAAACAAAAGCAGAGACGTGTGAGCCAATGCTGACTGGGAACCAATGTCCAAGTAGCCAAAGTCGACATTCTTTGAAGTCAAACCAGCAAAGTGAAGAGTCAGGAAAGGAACAAATGGGAGTTGGACTCGAGCCAGATAACAGCATTGTCTGCAGCAAAGTGGAGTCCATGACATGTGAGTGTGGAGAAGAGCAAACCACTGACCACCTGCTGCAATGCAACCTGATCCCCACCACATGCACAATGGAGGACCTTCTTGCGGCAACACCAGAGGCACCCCAAGTGGCCAGCTACTGCTCAAAGGACATTTAATCAACTAGCAAGCTTGCAAACTTTGTGTTTTGTTTGTTTTGTTTGTTTGTTTAAAAATGCAATACAACTGTTTGGCTTGCTCCTGACACGATAAATAAATAAATGCCAAGATTTCAAGTTTGTTTGTGTTTTTAAATCTATCTATCTATATATATAAATGCTCTGTGCATAATGAGTACCTTAAAAACAAAAGAACCAATGAACGAAATCACACCAAATTTGGCAACAAAACGTCTCACAACACAAGGAGTGAACATCACTCAAAAATTATGATTTTGTCATTTGGGAGTTGTAGTTGCTGGGATTTATAGTTCACCTACAATCAAAGAGCATTCTGAACTCCATCAACGATGGAATTGAACCAAACTTGGCACACAGAACTCCCATGACCAACAGAAAATACTGGAAGGGTTTGGTGGGCATTGACCTTGAGTTTGGGAGTTGTAGTTCACCTACATCCAGGGAGCACTGGACTCAAACAATGATGGATCTGGACCAAACTTGGCACAAATACTCAATATGCCCAAATGTGAACACTAATGGAGTTTGGGGAAAATAGACCTTGACATTCGGGAGTTGTAGTTCTGGGATTCACAGTTCACCTACAATCAAAGAGCATTCTGAACCCCACAGACAACAGAATTGGGGCAAACTTCCCACACAGAACCCCCATGACCAACAGAAAATACTTAAGGCCATCCAGTCCAACTCCCTTCACCAGGGCAAGAAAACGTAATCAAAGTCCTCCTGACAAAGAGCCATCCAGCCATAGATAGATATAGATAGATATGATTCACACACAGAGAGATATAGTATCATAGATTTGAAAGGGACCCCTAAAGAAGGACAATTATATGTTGCATGTTCCAGAGTAGGCAAACCAGACACTCTCCACATCAACACTGACAAAGAAACAGCAAGAAATACTGTTTACCCACAAGCATAAAGAAATTACATATATTAGAAATCAACACTTTCTCATTACTTTATTTTCCAGATCAACAGACTGGGTCTCAGCAACGCGTGGCAGGGGACAGCTAGTACATTATAATTATATCCTCAATTCGCTTTCGACACAATACATAAATAAATCCTGGAAATTGTGATCTGGTGAGATATTAGCACTCCTTTGACGTTGGAAAACTGCAACTCCCAACCATTAAAATGCTATCAAACTGCATTCATTCTTTAGTGAAGATGCACCCGATGTCAAGACTCACAAACCAATGCAAAAATGGAAATCATCCTGGAAAACCGTTCAGGAATCTCTCCTGCTGCCCTTTCTTTCTTTCCTCCATCTCTTTATCTCCTCCATCGCTCTCCTGAAGATGAGAATTCATTGCTAATTCCTGACATGTCTGCATCCTTGTGAACAGGAAGGGCATGGTCTTATCAGGGACCTCGCATATGTCTTAATCCCGCTTCCTTGGCTTTGCCTTTGTTCAGAGAAGCCTTTATCTCCGCTTGAGGTGCCCTTCAAACGTTGGCTTGCTACAACCCTTGCAAGATATTGAGAGCCATTTCAGACTTAAGCCCAAACCTCTGTCTGAAAGCCTCCTTGCAGACTTTCTCTCCTTTTGTTTGTTTGTTTAGACCAGTGTTTCTCAACCTTCCATGACCAACATAAAATACTGGAAGGGTTTGGTGGGCATTGATTTTGAGTTTGGGAGTTTTAGTTCATCTACATCCAGAGAGCACTGTGGACTCAAACAATGATGCATCTGGACCAAACTTGGCATGAATACTCAATGTGTCCAAATGTGAACACTGGTGGAGTTTGGGGCAAATAGACCGTGACATTTGGCAGTTGTAGTTGCTGGGATTTATAGTTAACCTACAATCAAAGAGCATTCTGAACCACACCATGAATACTCATGCCAAGTTTGAACACTGTCCAAATGTCCAAATGTGAACACTGGTGGAATTTGGGGAAAATAGACATTTGGGAGTTGCAATTGCTGGGATTTATAGTTCACCTACAATCAAAGAGCATTCTGAACTCCACCAACGATGGAATTGAACCAAATTTGGCACACAGAACTCCCATGACCAACAGAACACACTGGAAGGGTCTGGTGGGCATTTATTTTGAGTTTGGGACTTGTAGTTCACCTACATCCAGAGAGCACTGTGGTCTCAAACAATTGTGCATCTGGACCAAACTTGACATGAATATTCAATATGTCCAAATGTGAACACTGGTGGAATTTGGGGGAAATAGACCATGACATTTGGGAGCTGTAGTTGCTGGGCTTTATAATTCGTCTACAACCAAAGAGCATTCTGAACCCCACCAACAATGGAATTGAACCAGACTTGGTACACAGAACCCCCATGCCTTGAAGGAACTCGCTGGCATGAGCCTCCCTCCAAACTCACACAACTTTTCTCACCGACACATAAACACCATGCTGCCATGCTATCAAGATGCCAGGGCTCTGCCTTATTCGGGTAGAGATGAACCAAACAAATACCCAGTTTGTGTTAAACAGTTTAATCAAAACAGCACTTATTTTCTGGCATTCTGAATCCCACCAACAATAGAACTGGGCCAAACTTCCCACGTAGAATCCCCCATGACCAACAGAAAATATTGTTTTCTGATGGTCTTAGGTGACTTGGTCCTGATCCTCAGGTTGAGAAATGTTGGTTCAGATGGAGGATACAAAGATGAATGAGAAGGACACAAAGTTTGCAAAAACCATTAGAATTTAGACGAGAAGAAAAAGTTGGGCTGGTGGGCACACTTTGGCCCTCCAGGTGTTTTGGACTTCAACTCCCACAATTCCTAACAGCCTACCGGCTGTTAGGAATTGTGGGAGTTGAAGTCCAAAACATCTGGAGGGCTGAAGGTTTGGACAACTGAGCAATCAAACAAGGAGCGCTTCTTCTAACCAGCTCATTTCGGAAGGAAGATCTGCTATTTATAGAGCGAGAGAGTAAGTTAGTGACACATGCTCGCTCTAGTCTTGAGTTTCATCCACATGTTTTAGAGGATCACATTGCCATAATTGTATTCCAGCCAAGCCTAATGCATTCAGAGAGAGAAAGCCCGGTCTAATTAGCCAAAGGATCCCTGCAAAGTCTTCTCCTATATTACCTTCAGCCATGCTGTTTCCCACTGGAAAGACTGGAGTCCCTTCTGTTCCTCTGGCTTCCTTTGCCTTTCCGCTGACAGCTCAGCTCTGGAAACTTACCTCCTGAGCTTTGGATCCATATATATATATAGCCCTCCAAAGCACACACCCCTCCGCTGTCACAATAAGGCAATGTGGGGCGGAGGAGGGAAAGAGAAACAGCAAAGGCTTTCCAGGAAAAATCAAGTGTGTGCTTCACTTTGACAAAACTGGAAGCAAAATGTATTTACAGGAGCCGGGCGGTGAATGACACACCGCTATGCAAGGCCGGGGAGGTTTGGGGTTGGCGAAAGAGCCCCACCTAGCTGGCATCTCAGCATCTCAGCCTCATACATACTGCCCGGCCATTTCATTTTCTTCTTACAGTCTTCACAGTCCAATGTTTACTTGGAGGCCTCAGGGTTGCGTGCAGTCTCATGAATTGAAAGCAGTGTCAATTAGATTCTTAAAAACCTAGAGTTGGAAGAGACCTCATGGGCCATCCAGTCCAACCCTATTCTGCCAAGAAGCAGGAAAATTGCATCCAAAGCACCCCCGACAGATGGCCATCCAGCCTCTGTTTAAAAGCCTCCAAAGAAAGCGCCTCTACCGGGGCAGAGAGTTCCACTGCTGAACAGCTCTCACTGTCAGGAAGTTCTTCCTAATGTTCAGGTGGAATCTCCTTTCTTGATCAGCCCCTACACTAGAAACCTTTAAAAAGGACCTTAAAACCTGGCTCTTCTATTGCGCCTTTGGTGAGTAGGTGCACAACATGATACTACTGCTCCCCTCATAGAATCATAGAATCAAAGAGTTGGAAGAGACCTCATGGCCATCCAGTCCAACCCCATTCTGCCAAGAAGCAGGAATATTGCATTCAAATCACCCCCGACAGATGGCCATCCAGCCTCTGTTTAAAAGCCTCCAAAAAAAGAGCCTCCACCACACTACGAGGCAGAAAGTTCCACTGCTGAACAGCTCTCTCTCACAGTCAGGAAGTTTTCCTCATGTTCTACCTTTCTTGTAGTTTGAAGCTATTGTTATGAGTCCTAGTCTCCAGGGCAGCAGAAAACAAGCTTGTTCCCTCCTCCCTAAGCCGCTTCTTATTAGGATAGGGGTCCTCAAACTAAGGTCCTGGGGTTGGATACGGCCCTCCAAGGTCATTTACCCGGCCCTCACTCAGGGTCAACCTAAGTCTGAAACGACTTGAAAGCACACAACAACAATCCTATCTCATCAGCCAAAAGCAGGCCCACACTTCCCATTGAAATACTAATAAGTTTATATTTGTTAAAATTGTTCTTCATTTTAATTATTGTATTTTTTTAAGTGTTTTGCACTACAAATAAGATATGTGCAGTGTGCATAGGAATTCATTCATATGTTTTCAAATTATAATCCGGCCCTCCAACAGTTTGAGAGACTGTGACCTGGCCCTCTGTTTAAAATGTCTGAGGACCCCTGTCATAGGGCTTGTTCTCCAGACCCTTGATCATTTGAGTAGCCCTCCTCTGGACACATTCCAGCCTGTCAATCTCTCTCTTCAATTGTGGTGCCCAGAATTGGACACAGTGGGATTCCAGGTGTGGTCTGACCAAGGCAGAATAGAGCGTGGGTAGCATGACTTCCCTAGATCTAGACAGTAGACCCCTATTAATGCTGGCCAAAATCCCATTGGCTTTTTTCCCCCACAGCATGACATTGTTGGCTCATGTTTAACTTGTTGTCCATGAGGACTCCAAGATCTTTTTCACACGTATTGCTCTCGTGCCATGCGTCATCCCCCATTCTATATCTTTGCATTTCGTTTTTTCTGCCTAAGTGGAGTCTCTTGCATTTGTCCCCTTTGAACTTCATTTTGTTAGTTTTGGCCCATCATCTCTCTAATCTGTCAAGATCGTTTTGAATCCTGCTCCTGTCCTCTGGAGTATTGGCTATCCCTCCCAATTTGGTGTAATCTGCAAACTTGATGATCCTGCCTTCTCATCCTTCGTCTAAGTCATTAATGTGGGAGTTGAAGTCCAAAACACCTGGAAGGCTGAAGGTTTGGACAATTGAGTAATCAAACAAGGAGCGCTTCTTCTAACCAGCTCATTTCAGAAGGAAGATCTGCTATGAAGGAAGATCTGCTATGCATGCTGGAGTGAGAAGAGAAAGGTGGACTGGTGGGCACACTTTGGCAGACTGGTGGGCACACTTTGGCCCTCCAGGTGTTTTGGACTTCAACTCCCACAATTCCTAACAGCCGGTAGGACTGGACCAGGACTGGACCCAGGATCAGGACTGGACTCAGGATGGAACCCTGCTGATGGCACTCCATTCGTCACTTCTTTCGAGGATGAAGAGGAAGCCTTGGGGAGAATCACCCTCTGGGTTCATCCACTTAACCAATTACAGATCCACCTCACCGTAGTTTTGCCTAGCCCACATTGGACTAGTTTCCTTGCCAGAAGGTCATGGGGCACCTTGTCGAAGGCCTTACTGAAATCCAGGTACGCTACATCCACGGCATTCCCCGCATCTACCCAGCTTGTAACTCTATCAAAAAAAGAGATCAGATGAGTCTGGCATGACTTGTTTTTGATAAATCCATGTTGACTATTAGCAATGACCGCATTTGTTTCTAAGTGTTTGCAGACCACTTCCTTGACAATCTTTTCCAAAATCTTGCCTGGTATTGATGTGAGGCTGACCGAAAGGTGATTGTATTGTCAAAGGCTTTCATGGCTGGAATCACTGGGTTGTTGTAGGTTTTTTGGGCTATCTGGCCAAGTCCTAGAAGCATTCTCTCCTGAGTTTCGCCTGCATCTATGGTAGGCATTCTCAGAGGTTGTGAGGTCTGAAGCTATTGCTCCATTGCATCCTAATCTCCAGGGCAGCAGAAGACAAGCTTGCTCCCGCTTCCCTATGACTTCCCCTCACATATTTATCCACCATGGCCCTCACCATGTCTCCTGTCAGAACTCATGGGCCATCCACTTCAACCCCATTCTGCCAAGAAGCAGGAAAATCACCTTCAAAGCACCCCCAACAGATGGCCATCCAGCCTCTGTTTAAAAGCTTCCAAAGAAGGAGCCTCCACCACACTCCAGGGCAGAGAGTTCCACTGCTGAACAGCTCTCAAAGTCAGGAAGTTCTTCCTCATGTTCAGATGGAATCTCCTTTCTTGTAGTTTGAAGCCATTGTTCCTGCGTCCTAGTCTCCAGGGCAGCAGAAAACAAGCTTGCTCCCTCCTCCCTATGGCTTCCTCTCACATATTTATACATGGCTATCATGTCTCCTCTCAGCCTTCTCTTCTTCAGGCTAAACATGCCCAGCTCTTTCAGCCGCTCCTCATAGGGCTTGTTCTCTAGACGCTCAATCATTTTAGTCTCCCTTCTCTGGACACATTCCAGCTTGTCAATATCTCTCTTGAATTGTGGTGCCCAGAATTGGACACAATATTCCAGATGTGGTCTAACCAAAGCGGAATAGAGGGGTAGCATTACTTCCTTAGATCTAGACACTATGCTCCTATTGATGCAGGCCAAAATCCCATTGGCTTTTTTTGCCGCCACATCACATTGTTGGCTCATGTTTAACTTGTTGTCCACGAGGACTCCAAGATCTTTTTCACATGTACTGCTCTCGAGCCAGGCATCCCCCATTCTGTATCTTTGCATTTCGTTTTTTCTGCCAAAGTGGAGTATCTTGCATTTGTCACTGTTGAACTTCATTTTGTTAGTTTTGGCCAATCATCTCTCTAATCTGTCAAGATCGTTTTGAATCCTGCTCCTGTCCTCTGGAGTATTGGTCTCGAGCCACATGTTGCTGATCAAGTTAATCCCACCCTGAAGCCAATGTTCTCCTTGGGGGCAAAAGGAGTGGTGTGGACACAGGAGACAGACTCTGAAATTCCTCCCATAAAAACTTTATTAATTTTCCCAGCATGCCATGCACCAATCACAAACTGCAAATGAATGTACTTTTGAAGCAATGAGATTGCGGATCATCACTTACACCAATCCCAGTAAAATATTGTAATCATGATGACGTCAAATCTGGGAGATTTCCCCTGACATCTTCCCTTGGGCAATGATGCAACAAACTGGCTTCTGTTGCTGCCTTCAGCCTTCCTGTATTCATTGAAACCAGCTCACCAGGAAAGTGAGCCTTGAGATTTTGGACATCACAGCTTCAAATTGGTATCGGAGCAACATTGATGTTGTAGTAGCCCTTCACCCCTTTCAGTTTGTTGCTTTCAAAGTTGATCACCAGCTTCCGGAGGCCGGACAGGAAGGGAACAAAGTCCACCTTGGCTTTGGCTTCTTCACCTGGACCGACCGGGGAATAACTGGGGAGAGACAAGAGAGACAAGATCAGCAGGCTGACTTCCATTTTTAGTGTTGCTGAAAGAAGGTTTCCCACTCATGTTTTAAGACTGTACTTTCCCAAGATTTTTTGGCCTTATGAAAAATTTCCTTTCCAATTGACGTAGGGATGGTTTGATGTAGGAATAGAAATGTAGATAAAATGTGAACTTTGTCAACTATTAGTCTGCCCAATAATTGTTGGGTGAATGGGCTTAATAACAAAAGGCCCTCCCCATAAATATATAGCAGAGTAACTTATCAGCAGCAGAGTGGCCCAGCACTAAAGTGAGAAAAAGAACAAAAACACACAGACCAATGTTATTATATCTTCCATAGGAGACTTTTTTGTAATAAAATAATATAGTTGCACGATTTACAAGAACAAGGTTTCCATAACACAAATGAAGTTCAATCTTCACACTGGAGCTTCACACACGAGGCCTTCTCATACCGATGCTTCCCTCACACACAGACTTCTCTCACAGACTAAGGCCTTTCTCCCACTGAGACAAACTAAAACAGAGGCCTACCAACTACAGGCACACCTGCATATAGAATTGCAGCTTTTGCTGAGTCATTATATCCATTTCATCCTCTCAGTACTTGACACACATTTTTGTAATTAAAATACCTAGTTAATTTTAAATATATTGCTGAAGGCTTTCATGACCAGAATCACTGGGTTGTTATAGGTTTTTTCGGGCTATATAGCCATGTTCTAGAAGCATTCTCTCCTGACGTTTCACCTCTATCTATAGCAAGCATCCTAAGAGGTAGTGAGGTCTGTTGGAACTAGGAAAATGGGTTTATATATTTGTGGAATGACTAGGGTGGGACAAAGAACCCTTATCTGCTGGAGCTAGGTGTGAATGTTTCAACTGACCACCTTGATTAGCATTGGATGGCCTGGCAGTTTTTTGGTGTGGCTTGTTTGTGCCTGGGGCAATCTTTTGTTGAGAGGTGATTAGATGTCCCTGATTGTTTCCTCTCCGTTGCTTTGCTGTTGTAATTTTAGAGAAGCCATTGAAATCCATAAGCATGTGGACAATTTCAACAGAAAGGAGGAAACCATGAAAATAAACAAAATCTGGCTACCAGTATTAAAAAAACTCTAAAATGCGCCCTCCAATAATAGACTTTGGCAGCTTGAAGCTTCTGAAGAACATGGCTGTTCTTGTTTGTTTGAACTTTCACAGATTTGATCCGTCTCTTTGCCGCTCTTCGTTGTGCGTGACTGGAGAGCTTCTTTATATTGTCATCAGGGTCGGGAGGCAGGAACCCGGCCAACTCCTCCTTGGCGCCGCGCTGCTTGCGAGCCTTCCTCGCTGGGTCCAGTTTGCGCCCCATTCTGCTCAGGCCACAAATGAAGTTCAATCTTCAAACAGGAGCTTCACACATCTCATACCGAGGCTTCCCTCACACACAGGCTTCTCTCACAGACTAAGGTGTACCTCACACTGTTAGGCCTTCTCACAGACTAAGGCCTTTCTCCCACTGAGGCAAACTAACACAGAGGCCTACTACACTGGCCTACTTATATAGAACTGTAGCTTTTTCTGAGTCATTGCATAATTTAACCCTTTCAGTACTTGACTCACATTTTTGTAATTAAAAACACCTAGTTATTTCTTAAAAATATTTCTGACAATAATGATAATTTATTGTGGTCCATTCTTTTAGTTTTTGCTGAATTTAGAAACACTTGAATCACAATTGTGCATAATCAAACTAGCAAATGTAGAGGGTCAGTTGCAGTATACAAAACTATGAATCCCACAATTTCATACCATTGAACCAGGCAATTAAACTGCATCCTTGCGCAATGTGAGATAACTTTTTAAGGAGAGAAAACACCTACATCTTCTGGATCTTCTGTCCACCCGTGAGTCCGGCCCCTTGCACAGTGAAGACACAGTCGGTCAGTGGGACTGGGAGTGGGTTGGTCAGTGCCACTTCAGCCATCAACCTCCGATTCTGCATCGGCTCCCCCAGGATCTGCATTTGCAAGGAAGAAGTTGCAATGGGACAAAAAAACACCCCAATAATAAATTGTGTTGGTACGTCTGTACCAGGAGCTCCAACTGTATTTTCTTTCTGTTATGTGTTTGCATGCATTCCAAAGTTTCAGGGATCCTGCAAAAAGGTGGCTTCCTTTGGTTTGCAGTCATAGGGCAAGCCACCTGTCTATCATTGTTAAGTTTGGATCCGCCCCTTCTCCCAGGGAGATGGGAAGGGAAGAGGGGGCCATTTTTAGTTAGTCTTAGTGAGGAAAGCTGAGTTAGAGGACGTGGACAAGCTTCACCTGCAGAAAAGCTTCATTTCTCAGGACTTTCCAGGAGAAAATTCCCAAAGCTCTGGCTGGGAGCTTGCAGCCTCTCAGCCTTACAGCATCTGAGGGAAACAGCCCTAAAGTCTTAAAGAAATTCCAGAGGGAAAACAGCTTTACAGACCCAAAGAACTCCAGCTGGAGAATCTACAAGCTTTGTCTGGTAGGTTTACTCTGTACCAAGACGCAGTTTGGAATCGGTAGTAGATCCCACACAAACAAAACTTAGATAACAGACAGCCTGGGAGAGGTTAAAAAGGGGGTTTTCCTCTCAAAGTAGAAGAACAATTAACAAAGACAGTTGCCTGTCCCTTGTGGACAAGATTAAGGAAGCCACCAGTTGATTGAAAGCCTTGAAGCATTTGTTTGGCTCATTGAAGATTTGAGAAACATCTGTTTAATTTGTTCAATAATAATGTTTAACCTTTCAAGCCATCTAAAGACCATTTCTTCAGGAAAGTCCTTGAGGGCCTCTTTCGTGGCACCCTGGCTTCCCGCTGGGCACAAGGTGCACCTCCTATTTCAAAAGTCAATTATTACAGGCCCAGCGCGTGACAGAATATAAATAAATAAAACTTTATTTATACCCCACCTCCATCTCCCCAAGGGGACTCGGAGCATCTAACATGAGGCCAAGCCCAACAAATTACAACAGAGCAAAAAAATACAATGAAAGATCATAAGATAAGACATCAAATAAATAAAATAAAATAAATTTTTAAAAGATAATACAAAATAAACACAGAGTATAAACAAAACATTGAACCAAGTGGGTGGAGCTAAATACAATGGATAGGATTTTAAAACCCTGGGTGAGATGGATGAGTAGGGTAATTTATCTGATGGTAAGTTTGGAGGGGACAAACCATGGGATTTAATTCACTGAAGGGCAAGATAAAGTGCATCGAAAGACATGATGTGCTCAATTGGTCAAAGGTAAGGGACTTGTTCAATCCTTGAAGGCACACTGGAACAGCCAAGTTTTTAGGCCCTTCCTGAAGGCTGCCAAAGTGGGCGCTTGCCTAATCTCCCTGGGTAGCGAGTTCCAGAGCCGAGGAGCCACCACAGAGAAGGCCCTCTCTCTCGTTCCCACAAGTCGCGCTTGTGACGGTGGTGGGAGCGAAAGGAGGACCTCCCCCAATGATCAAAGGGATCGTGCAGGTGCATAGAAGGAGATGCGATCACGAAGGTAGGTTGGTCCCAAACCATTCAGGGCTTTGTAGGTGATAACCTGCACCTTGAATTGGGATCAGAAAATGAACGGCAGCCAATGGAGCTCCTTAAACAGAGGAGTAGGCCGCTCCCTGTAATTCACTCCAGTTAGAAGTCTGGCAGCCAAATGCTGGACCAATTGAAGTTTCCGGTCCGTCTTCAAAACCAACCTCAGAAGAACTTTGCTAAGGAGAAAATACATCCATCCCTCCACGTTTGCTAGGCTTAGGGCCTCAGGACCCCCAAGAATATGTTTTCCAAACTTCAATCCTACATAAAGTCATGGGTCATGTAATTGATGGATGACTTGGAGATCTGACATTGAACAAGCCCAGAATAACTGCCAAGGGAGACCAGGCAGCCACGGCTTCTAGGACCTGAATTCCAAACCTCCCAGAGAACCAAAGTTGGGAATCATTGGCATTTTCTAATTATTTTCCAGGATTCATTCCCTCCCAAAGGGAATGTGGTTGCATTGAACCTCCCGATCACTCCATGTCCCATCCTTCTGCTTTTCTTCCCATAGGTGATTCTTACCCTGATTTTGATATCTGGGTTCTTGATGTAAATGTCCCTCGTCCCCCCGCAACACTCCTGGGTGTCCTGGTCTACGAGGAAGGCTGACACCCGAATCATGTTGTCCTGAGTCAAGCGCCGGCTGTAATTCTTGTAGAGGATGTTAAAGGGAATGGTCTTCTCTGGAAGGACAGAAGAAACAAGTCAGGTTCATGGATGGCATCACCATCAAAGTTGGCTGGGGCTTCCCAAGTCTGATATTCCCAAACAGTCCTAGAGTTGGAAGGGGCCCAACTAATATTTTCATAGGAGCATAGAATCATTGAGTTGGAAGAGACCTTTTGGGCCATCCAGTCCAACCCCTCATCAAGAAGCAGGAAAATCACATTCAAAGCACTCCCAAGAGATGGCCATCCAGCCTCTGTTTCAAAGCCTCCCAAGAAGGAGCCTCCACCACACTCTGGGACAGAGAGACAGTTCCACTGCTGAACAGCTCTCTCGCGAATGATCAGGTGGAATCTCCTTTCCTGTTGTTTGAAGCCATTGTTCCATTGCGTCCTAGTCTCCAGAACAGCAGAAAGGAAGCCTGCTCCCTTCTCCTTATGACTTCCCCTCACCTCTTGTGCCATGGCGCTCATCATGTCTCCTCTCAGCCTTCGCTTCTAAAGGCTAAACATGCCCAACTCTTTCAGCCGCTCCTTGTTCTCCAGACCCTTAATCCTTTCAGTTGCCCTCTTCCTCTGGACACATTCCAGCTTAGAGTCAACATCTCCCTTAATTGTGGTGCCCAGAATTGGACACAGTGTGATTCCAGGTGTGGTCTAACCAAGGCAGAATAGAGCATGGGCAGCATGACTTCCCTGGATCTGGACGCTAGACTCCTATTGATGCAGGCCAAAATCCCATTGGCTTCCCCCCCCCCCCCATGGCATGACATTCTTGTCAGTGACATCGGCAGCACAGCAAGGCAGGAACAGATCAATCACAGCCACCTTAGGCTATAAACTACTTTATTTTACAGCTATATGCATTAGAAGCTACTTAACTCTCAACACATCGTAAACTTGCTTCTTTTACCGTCTGATCGTAACATTGCGAACATCCTAACCGTTATCAGTACTAGTCCACACCTCTTGCAATCCAGAGTGACATATGACGTATGACACATTTGTTCTATACACTTGATTTATGACCTTTCTAGGAATGCTGTTCTTTCCATGGTTCAGTTAACTCTTTCCACACAGGAATACATTACACTCGGCACATAGCTATTGCATTTTAAACATGCATACATACATACTTTGAAATCTACATTATAAATTGCAAACAGCTTCAACGATTGTTGGCTCATATTTAACTTGTTGTCGACAAGGACTCCAAGAACTTTTTCACACATACTGCTTTCTAGCCAGGCATTCTGTATCTCTGAATTTCATTTTTTTCTGCCTAAGTGGAGTCTCTTGCATTCGTCCCTGTTGAACTTCAATTTTGTTAGTTTTGGTCCATCTCTCTAATCTGTCCAAATCATTTTGAATTCTGCTGCATTTCTCTGGAGTATTAGATATCCAACTATGGTCCTTAGTGCTTAAGAATTGCTCAGGAAACGTCATATTCTTGCAAAGAAAAGACACCACATTATTCATTCTTGCATGCAGGAACAATAATATGTAATATTCCTGCTCTTTTATATGTGTAAGTTCAAGTCAAAAATAGCTCAGCGAGGGAGAGCATGAGGTCAAAACAAATTGGATTTTTTCCCAAGTCTATTTGAGAAGATGTACAGTATGAGGGAGGGAGAGGAAGGGAATTGTCTTGGGGTTAAGCTATACTGTGGAATTAATGCAGTTTGACCCCACTTTAACTACCATGGCTCAATGTTATGGAAAAACTTGGATTTGTAGTTTGATAAGGCATCAGCATTGTTGGGTAGTGATGGGTCAATACCCATACTGTTGAGGCAGGGTGGTTAAAATAGTGTCAAACTGCATTCATTCTACAGTGTTGATGCACTGTTGGGCGCTCTCTGCTTTTGTTTAGGTTTGCACCTAAAGTGCACTCTTTGCAGAGACCAATCATTCTGGTTTACTATCAAATCACCTTGTCTCTCTCCTGAGGAATCTGTATAAGGAACAAGTAGCAACAGAAAGAACTGACCATGGAAAAAGAGACTGGTTCAAGATTGGGAAAAGCATGCAGCAGGGTGGTATACCCTCTCCCAATCTATTCAATTTACATATAGAACACATGATGCGATGTGCGGGGCTTGACAAATCCAAGGCTGGAGTTAAAATGGCTGGGCGAAACATTAAAAACCTTAGATATGCAGATGATACCACTTTGATGGCCGAAAGCGAGGAGGAGTTGAGGAGCCTTCTAATCAAGGTGAAAGAAAAAAGTGCAAAAGCTGGGTTGCAGCTAAACATAAAAAAACAAGATTATAGCAACTGGACTGATTGATAACTGGCAAATAGAGGGAGAAAATGTGGAGGTAGTGACACTTTGTATTTCTAGATGCAAAGATGACTGCAGATGCAGAGTGCAGCTGGGAAATCAGAAGACGTTTCCTGCTTGGGTGGAGAGCAAGGACCAATCTCGATAAAATAGTGAAGAGGAGAGTTATCACACTGGCAACGAAGACCCACATAGTCAAAGCAATGGTATTCCCCATAGGAACCAATGGATGTGAGAGCTGGAACATAAGGAAGGCTGAGCGAAGGAAGAGAGACGCTCTTGAACAGTGGTACTGGAGGAAAATGCTGAGGGTGCTTTGGACCATGAGAAGATCCAACTAGTCCATCCTCCAGGGAATCAAACCCAACTTTTCATTGGAGGGAAGGATATCAGAGGCAAAGATGAAGGACTTTGGTTACATCATGAGAAGACAGGAAAGCTTGGAGAAGACAAGGATGCTGGGGAAAATGGAAGGGAAAAAAAAGAGGGGCCGACCAAGGACAAGGTGGATGGATGGGATCCTTGAAGGGACTGGCTTGACTCTGAAGGAGCTGGGGGTGGTGACGGCTGACAGGGAGCTCTGGCATGGGCTGGTCCATGAGGTCACGAAGAGTTGGAAGTGACTGAACGAGTAGACAACAAAAACCAGCACATGCTACTCAGTGATTACAAGGATAAAAAACTGCAATAATGCAAAACCCATTAGGTTCTATTCTCCCCAGGTATTGAACATGCTAGGTTTTTGTTGTTGTTTTAATTGATGGAAATCCAGGCCTTTCATCACTTTGGAAGCCAATTTAGAGCACATCCACACTTTAAACAAATGCAGTTTGGCACCACTTGAAGTGGAATCCTGGAAGTGGTGGTTTGAAGAAGCACCAGAGATGAAATTTGCTTTTGGGAATTTAATTTTTTTTGGTAATATTTTCAAGCCATGAAATCTTGAGTCCACAGGTAAACAATCTATGGATAATGTATTGTCAAAGGCTTTCATGGCCGGAATCACTGGGTTGTTGTAGGTTTTTTCGGGCTATATGGCCATAGTCTAGAGGCATTCTCTCCTGACGTTTCGCCTGCATCTATGGCAAGCATCCTCAGAGGTAGTGAGAGGATACAAATCTATGGATACAAATGTATAGCAATGCACATTGTGCACGGTGCATTGCAATGGTCAATTGTGCTTTGAACATTGACACCAAGTCATTGGCAGGCGTTGCGAAATTAGTTCTATTCTGCATGGGGTTTGCATGTTCAGACAATATTGCTATGTTGCAGGGAGGTTGCATTTCAATTCCGGTCTTGAAGATCCCAATACATGAGTGCAGAAGTCTAGCCACTCTCCTGCACACTACAAATCTCCATATTGTGAAGAGATACCATTGTGCACAAGGCATACCAAGAAGAACAGAGAGGAGCAGCAGGCTTTGATGGACGGCAGGCAACTTTGATAGATAGCAGATGCTGAGAGCCCAAGCAGAGGAACAACAATGGAAAAGCAGCTGGGAAAATAAGAATTAAGGCAACAAAAGCTTTGGAGACACAAACCAGCAAAAGCTGAGGGATAAAAAGGGCTGGAAAAGCAGACAGGCAGAGCAGCCAAGAATTCTCTGATCTGTAAGGATTCTGCATGCGTATTCCAGGCATTTCTGGAGGAGGCTAAAGAACCATAAACTCCTAGAGTTGGAAAAAAAACCCCCAAGTCCATCAAGTCCAACACAATTCTACCAGGCAGGAAGGCCATACAACCCTTGTCACAAAAATGTAATGTGCAGATTTGATAAATGTGAATTTAATGATATGTGGGTATGAATGGAAGAACGGAAGGATGTATGGATGGAGTTAATAATTTTGGAAACACCAGTAAAAGACCAAGGCCTGCAATGACTAACTACCTGCTTAGGTAAAGGGTAAAGGTTTTCCCCCGACATGAAGTCCAGTCGTGTCCGACTCTGGGGTGTGGTGCTCATCTCCATTTCTGTGACGGCGCAAGTGGCACCACCTATGTATAGAACTGTTAGTTGCAAGGCTTAAACTGTTGTATCATGCTTAATCCTGCCCCTTTTTACACTGCTTATGTATAGTTGTATGGATTGGTTGCTTGTAGCTGTCAATCAGTACTGCTTGGCTCCACCTCTTCCTGCAAGAGGGGAGAACTTCCTTTTTCTTTTCATTCTGCCATCAGAGTTCATACCAGATGGACGTGAGTAAAAGACTTGATTCTAAAGGACCCTGATTTAAGTTACCTCTTAGCACCAGTTCTGAGGTTTTTTACCCCTGGGACTCATGCTTTATGTCCAGATCATCCTGGACAATTATTGAGGAGACCCAGGCGCCTTCAAGCCGGTTCTTTTGGCACCAAAGGAAGATCCTGAATCTTCAAAACATAGGCCATCTGAACTGGGGTTGTGGTTTGCTCCGGCATTCACAGCCATTGAGGAAAGAGGAAACTTGGTGAGGCTTCTCAGCTTCAAACCCCTTGGACCCAGGACTAATTGAGACTGTAATGTATGTTTTCCTTCTCTCTAAAGTTTTCCAGCTCATTGCTTTGAAGAAATGACTTTGTGATAAATAAAACTTGTCTTGAGCTATTTACAGTGTTTGGGGTTTTTGGGAGTTCCAGTTTCCTATAGGAGGGCAAGAAGCAATCCCCTGGGGGAAAGATACCACGTCCATCCCTCCTTTATTGAGAATAATAGCCCCCAGGCGCGGCGGCACAATTTCTAAGGCAAAGAGCCGGCTTAGAAATGGACCTGCTTTCTGGACTGTAATTAAAAGTTGCTAATAAGAACTGAAAAGTAAACTCTGATAAGAAATGGGACAGTGATAATAGAAATGTTCACAATGTTAAGAAGGAAGTCAACATAAGACCAACACCAATCAAGAAGCATCAACATCTGGCCAGGAAACTGAGATGGATCCAGGATGGAAAACATCTATCATTAATTTACAACTTTGGGACTACATCTGCAGAATATTTCTGTAAAAAACTCAGTCTAATAATGCTCAAAGCGTGGCAGACCTGAGGAGTCTGGTTCATCCGCCATGCTCTGCTCCATGGGAAAGAGAGAGATGGTGTATTCGGAGAGTGTCAGAAATGCTGTGGGAAAGCATGATTCTGTACACTTTTAGGCTTCTTTCTCAAGGGAAGAGGAAGGAGTGCGCTTTTGGAGTCTTAGGTTTTGTGCAGGGAGTCAGATTCTGCTGTATGGAAAACAGAGATCTGGTCCTTGGCATTGTGCTTAGGGAAAGAGGAGTTTTGAAGTTATGGAAGTTATGGAACTATGCATTGGCAAACTGCAGGAAAGCAGGGTGTGGCCTAACAGGTCCTTCTCCAAATGGGGTTACAAAGTGGAAAACTAACAAAATGAGAACTAACAAAATGAAGTTCAACAGGGACAAATGCAAGATACTCCACTTAGGTAGAAAAAACAAAATGCAAAGATACAGAATGAGGGATGCCTGGCTCGAGAGCAGTACGTGTGAAAAAGATCTTGGAGTCCTTGTGGACAACAAGTTAAACATGAGCCAACAATGTGATGTGGCGGCAAAAAAAGCCAATGGGATTTTGGCCTGCATCAATAGGAGCCTAGTGTCTAGATCCAGGGAAGTCATGCTCCCCATACTATATTCCGCTTTGGTTAGACCACACCTGGAATATTGTGTCCAATTCAGGGCACCACAATTCAAGAGAGATATTGACAAGCTGGAATGTGTCCAGAGGAGGGCGACTAAAATGATCAAGGGTCTGGAGAACAAGCCCTATGAGGAGCGGCTTAAGGAGCTGGGCATGTTTAGCCTGAAGAAGAGAAGGCTGAAAGAAGATATGATAGCCATGTATAAATATGTGAGAGGCCGCCACAGGGAGGAGGGAGCAAGATTGTTTTCTGCTTCCCTGGAGACTAGGACGCAATGGAAGAATAGCTTCAAACTACAAGAGAGGAGATTCCATCTGAACATGAGGAAGAACTTCCTGACCGTGAGAGCTTTTCAGCAGTGGAACTCTCTGCCTTGGAGTGTGGTGGAGGCTCCTTCTTTGGAAGCTTTTAAACAGAGGCTGGATGGCCATCTGTCAGGGGTGCTTTGAATGCAATTTTCCTGCTTCTTGGCAGAATGGGGTTGGACTGGATGGCCCATGAGGTCTCTTCCAACTCTATGTTTCTATGATTCTACATGCGTGTGTGGAGAAGAGCAAACCACAGACCACCTATTACAATGCAGCCTGAGCCCTGCCACATGCACCATGGAGGACCTTCTTATAGCAACACTAGTGGCACTCCAAGTGGCCAGATACTGCTCAAAGGAGATTTAACAGAATGCCAAGTTTGCAAACTTTGTGTGTGTGTGTGTGTGTTTAAATACAATACAACTGTTTGGTTCGCTCCTGACACGATAAATAAATAAAATAAATCTTGTAATGCTCAGAGAAATGCCTGCTGCACTGACACATCCAGTAGGAATGGCAGTCTTGGGCACAGTCCAAAACCAACATCCCCCGTCTCCATCTGAGTGCACGAAACAATGCCTCTTTGAAGATCCCACCTCCAAGGCAGGCCGGAAGGAGCATGTTTATCTCTGTGGCTTGGCCTCCGGCAATGTTCTCCTCACCCTCTGCCACTGTTCACTGAATTCTACAAGACTCTGCTAGATTCACACAATACAACCCTTTTGTCTCCTTGAACTTGTTCCTGCAATATTAATGGAACTAATGGAGAGGGGTCTGGCTGGAATGGCAAAGGACAAGAAAGGGCTTGCTCTGAAGCACTTGGAATGTGGTCTAGATGCACTCTCTGTCCAACTGGAATGACTCCACTGCTAGAATTGCAGAAGGGTGAGCCCACACTTCCCTAAATCCTATTCATTTAATGACTCTACTCTAATTGATCCAACTTTGATCTCCATCTTCATTGCTATGATACTTCACCTTGTTGATGGGAAGTTTCCCACCGGAGTGGAAATAATCTATCGGACAGATGGCAAGCTGTTTGACCTCAGCAGACTGAAAGCCAAAACCAAGGTTACAACAACATTTGTTATAGAACTCCAGTATGCTGATGACAATGTTGTCTGTGCACATCCAGAAGAAGATCTACCAGCCACTCTTTGCAGAAGCATACAAGAAGCTCGGCCTGTCATTGTACATTGAGAAAACCAAAGTGCTCTTCCAGCAGACACCAGCCAATCCCTTTCCAATGCCAGAGATACAGCTTAATGGTGTAACATTAGAAAATGTTGACCATTTCTGCTCCCTTGGCAGCCACCTCTCCACCAAAGTCAACATCGACAACGAAATACAACACCGCCTGAGCTCTGCGAGTGCAGCATTTTTCTGAATGAAGCAGAGAGTGTTTGAGGACCGGGACATCCGTAGGGAAACCAAGGTGCTTGTTTATAAAGCTATTGTCCTCCCAACCCTGCTCTATGCCTGTGAGACGTGGACTGTCTACAGACGTCACATGCAACTCCTGGAATGATTCCATCAGTGCTGCCTCCGGAAAATCCTGCAAATCTCTTGGGAAGACAAGTGGACAAACACCAGCGTGCTGGAAGAAGCAAAGACCACCAGCATTGAAGCAGTGGTCCTCCACCATCAACTCTGCTGGACCGGCCACGTTGTCCGGATGCCCAACCACCGTCTCCCAAAGCAGTTGCTCTACTCCAAACTCAAAAACGTAAAACGGAATGTTGGTGGGCGGGAAAAGAGATTGAAAGATGGGCTCAAAGCCAACCAAAAGGCATAAACACTGAGAACTGTGAAGCCCTGGCCCTTGAGCGCTCCAGCTGGAGGTCAGCTGTGACCAGCAGTGCTGCAGAATTTGAAGAGGCACGAATGGAGGGTGAAAGAGAGAAACATGCCAAGAGGAGGGCGCATCAAGCCAACCCCGACCGAGACCGCCTTCCACCCAGAAACCGATGCCCTCACTGCGGAAGAAGATGCAGGTCAAGAATAGAGCTCCACAGTCACCTATGGATCCACAAGAATACTGATCATAGAAGACTATCCTACTTGTCCAATGAGGGATCGCCTAAGTAAGTAAGTTAGTAAGTAATTGATCCAACCCATTGGATTTAGACCAGTGCTATCAAAACCCAGTCACTTGACTATGAATAAATGGACACTGCGTAATGAATGCAGTTTCACCTACTCTAAATGTCGTAGCTGAAAGCTGTGAAATCCTGGAAGTTATAGTTTTCCAAGGTCTTGAACCACCTCTGTCAGAAAGAGCTGGTGCCTTGCCAAACTACAATTCCTAAGATTGTGTAGCATTCAGCCATGGCAGTTTGTGTGGCATCACATTTCATTCCTTCTACGGTGTAGATACACCATTTGGAGGAATGATGGCTGGGGGATTTGGGCCGGAATCACTGGGTTGTTGTACGGTTTTTTTTGGGCTATATGGCCATGTCCTAGAGGCATTCTCTCCTGACGTTTCACCTGCATTTATGGCAAGCATCCTCAGAGGTAGACCTCACTACCTCTGAAGATGCTTGCCATAGATGTGGGCGAAACATCAGGAGAGAATGCCTCTAGAACATGGCCATATAGCCCGAAAAAACCTACAAAAAACCATTAAAATCACTTATATCCACATTAAAATCAGTTGATTAAAAACCATCTCAGGACCCCATTTTGCCTCATTGTACTGCCCCAAAGGCTTGGTCCCACGGGCAGGTCTTCACCATCCTTCTGAAAGACAGGAGGGAGGGGGCTGATCTAATCTGGCCAGGAAGGGAGTTCTATAACCGGGGGACATTCATAGAGAAGGCCCTGTCTCTCGTCCCCGCCGAACGTGTCTGTGATGGTGGCGGGACCGAGAGCAGGGCCTCCCCAGAAGATCTTAGTTTTTGCAGTGGTTCGTAAAGGGAGATGGGTTCAGACAGGTAAACTGGGCCAGGGCCATTTAGGGCTTGATAGGCCAAAGCCAGCACTTTGAATTGTGCCTGGTAGCAAACGTAACATGGGAGTTGTGTGCTCCCGGTATGCTGCCCCAGTTATTAACCTGGCTGCCTTTCATTGGACTATTTGAAGCTTCTGAACTGTCTTCAAAGGCAACCCCACGTAGAGTGTGTTGCAGTAGTCTATCCTGGATGTAATGAGAGCGTTGCAGTACAATGAATGTAGTGTCAGAGATTGATGCTGCCCAGCGGAAGGAATGCTAGATCAAACAGACATTGAGTTGCAAAATAAGGACTCTGCAGGCTTTGAGTTACAAAAAAAACTAAGTTTACTAAGTACATACATCAGACACGTCTTTCTACAGTGAGCTACAATTCAGGAAGAAACAAAGAACTAGTCAAAACCGAAAGCCTCTGCACATCTGCTTATCTTCTCTTGCTGAGACTGGCAACTCCCTTCTGTTCTCATTAAGAACAAACCTTATCTTACTTTCTCAAGTTCACTTAATCACAGCCTCAAAGTATAAACATTTCTGCATGGCATTTTCGATTCACAGTGGCATCCATCTTTGCAATACATAGAAGCACATTGAAAAACACATACATAACTAAATTAATCCTGACATGTAGATGACCTCACAACCACACTCTTCTTCTGATGAAATGACAAAAGGAGAAGAAGAAAACCAGAAACTCAATGCTTACCTTCATATGGCTCGAGTGTGATGTTGAGCATATCTTTGGATCTGAATTCGGGACCCAGCACCCCATTGTAGCTTTTGGTACGAGCAGCAAATGTCAGTTTGCACCGATGCTTTTCCGCTGTGGTGTTCTCGATAACAGCAAAGACATGGAAGTCGCAGCCATTGTTGATGCCCTCAGAAGTTTTGATCCTGACCTTCAGAGTGTTCTTCATTGGCAGTGAGTCTTTGAGCTGGTCCTTGTGCTGAACCTTCTGCCTGGCCTTTGCAAACGTGGCCCGCTCTTCCATTGAGCCTGCCAAAGGGAAGCGGCAATGTCTGAGGTCACTGGCCAATGACACATGTTACTGCCATGTCCAGCAATTGTCTGAACTTGCGAAGCTATTGTTAAGGGCAGATCTGCAGTAGAAGTGGTCACTCCCTGGTATTTTGAGCCAGCTCAGGAAAGACTAATCATCCCTCATCCTTTCAAACGAGGAAAGCCACTGGCTTCAAGGATAACACATGGAGGCTTGGTAAGATGAGCTCCAGTTGAGACCTCTAAGTAAAGAAGCCTCTGTGGAGTAGGTCTGCATAACAGACAACTTCATATTCTAGCTCCTAATCCTGATTCTACTGCCCTTCCATGGCATTTGACTTCTGCACTCTGACTTTAGCTATTGTTTGTTCTTGACCTGACTCTGTACTTCTTCACTAATTTGACTTTTGGCTTCACCATCACCTCATCATCGTTATGGGTTTGTGTTTTGCAATTCTGCTATTTTGGCTGGACTTTCAAAGACTTTGGGTCTTTGGTTTATTTTCCTTGTTGGAACTCAGCCACATCCTGCATAAGTTTATAGTCCTCATCAAGGAAATAGATAGGCAGATGAGTTAGGGCGCTTCCAGACAGCCCCAAAATCCGTGCCAAAGCAGGTTTTTAAAAACCTCTTTGGCATGGATTCCCATCCTCACTCCCCACAAAAAGCTCAGGCTTTCCCAGGGGGTGGGCTACATGCCATCCCAATTACAATCAGGATAGCATGCAGCCACCCTGAACCCCCCAATTTTTCCCCTGGAATTAAACATACCTGGTCACCATAATGTTTCTCCTCCTACCCTCCTGCTGTGAGGAAATGATGCACCGGAGGCGGGGGGGGGGGGGGCAAGAAGGGTGTGTGGATTGGGCTCAGGAAAACTGTCAGGGCCCACACCTAGTAAGACCCGGATCTTACCTTAAGATACAGATCTTAAAGGTAAAGTTAAAAGTTTCCTCTTGACATTAAGATTAGTCGTGTCTCATTATTGGGGGGGGGGGGTGCTCAATGTCGAAGAGCCGGCATTGTCCGTAGACACCTCTAAGGTCAGGTGGCAGCATGACTGCATGGAGCACCATTACCTTCTTGCAAAAGCGGTACCTATTGGTCTACTCACATTTGCATGTTTTTGAACTGCTAGGCTGGCAGAAGCTGGGGCTAACATTAGGAGCTCATCCAGCTTCCCAGATTCAAACCACTGACTTTTCAGTCAGCAAGTTCAGCAGCTCAGTAGTTTAACCCACTGCACCACTTGATCGTACAAAGTATTTAATCAATTCATAAATCAGGGACACCCTGGTTTCTCCCAAATTAATTCATTTTTACCAGAAGCATCACTTTTACGACTGTTAAAAACACAGACAGGTGCTGGATAGGCCCTTATTTGTCAGAGAACCCCTTCCCCCATTGGCTTCTCTGTCTGCCTGTTCTTCCTTTCTCTCCTCCTATCACCTTTTCAATTTAGACTGATATTTCTCAGGGACAGGACTCTTTTTAGAACACATGGGAAGTCCCTGCATCATTCATTATGCACTTTTCTTGTGAACATAGAAAGCTGAGAGAGTAGATAGCTAGATAGCTAAGCTCTTATCTTTCCTATCTAGAAATGCAATTCTTTGAAAAAAGTGTTTTATAACTTCTGAAGCTTGATTCTGCTCCTCTATTGCTGAAACTCATCCGCTCTACTGCTGGCACTAGAAGCTTCTGATCTGCTGAACTGCTACAATAATAATAATAATAATAATAATAATAATAATAATAATAATACAATAATACTACTGTTGATGCCACTGCTTTATATTATAAAAAATACTTTTTTCCTTTTTCACATTAGCCACACAACATTGCTATTGTTTGTTTAAACCTCAGCCCTGATAAGGGGACTCAGTATGCTTGTCCAGGAACTTGGAAAATAGCAGGGCTACTTGGCCAGAGGATCTTGAACCTCAGTCTCTCAGTGGATGCTGGTCCTGGGACTTGCTGGATGGTAACTGTCCACTACTTTTGCCAGGTTGACTTTGGTAGATGTGATTAAAATGGTCTCTCTAAGAATGTTGAGGTCACCTATGCAACTCATGCTGGAGGATCTGAAGAATCCCTATAAGAACACTTGTTTAAGAAGAGAGCTTTCCAGTGTGATTCTATAATCAGTGGGGGAAGTAGACCATGCTGGAGAACCTAGAGCAGTGGTTTTCAACCTATGAGTCCCCAGATGTTTTGGCCTTCAACTCACCAAAATCCTAGTAGCTGGGAAACTGGTTGGAATTTCTGGGACTTGGAGGCAAAAACATCTGGGGACCCACAGGTTGAGAACCACTGACCTAGAGAATCCTAGAGAGAACTCCAATGTGATTCTGTGGTCAATTTCCAGCAGACATTGACCAAAGAGTCATGCTGGAGGAACTAGAGGTGCCAAAGAGTCATGCTGAAGGAACTAGAGGTGGAGAAACATCTCCAGAGTGATTCTGTCTCCAACAGGCAGAAGTGGACCATACAGAATTTCCCTAAGGGACTGCCAATGAATTCCAGGTGCTATTGGCTGAATTTCAGAGGAAGGACCTGGTAAAGCCACCTCTGAGTCTTCTTTGTCTGAGAAAACCTTATTAAATTCATGGGGCCACCATAAGTCAACAGATGACTTGAAGGCATCTACCTATACACAATACAAAAGCTCCTAAGATTTTGTCTTCTACTTCTTCCTGCTCCCTTAAGAACACATACACACATATGCCATAGGGCCTCCATAAGTAGCTCTGCTCACCTTCAGGATACTTGTAGCAGTGAGTTATGTCCTCCCTGGTCTCCCTGCCCACACTCTTGGTGCTGATGTTCACGCCTATCGCACTGGTGTCAATGCTGATCACTTTCCAAGGCATGCCATGCTGACGCATATACCACACCTCGTCAGCATTCACCTCAGCAAAAACAAAAGGGACGTCATACTTGAGGTGAATGTCTCCCTCCTTAATGGCCTTGACAGAAGCTGGGCCACAGCAGAAAATGCCTGTCGAAGGAAAGGGGATGGTAAACAGATGGAAAACCTAGTGCAGCAAAGAATAATGAGTGATTGAGAGGTGTTTAGTCCAAATTACAAGAAAAAGACCAAAAGTTGCCCCATAGACACCTGCCCTTCCTGCCTCCACAGATGGTCATTTCTCACAATGAGAACCTACAATACTATCATTGAGGTGAGGTTCCCACTTTGTACTGGGCAGAACTTCCTCGAGTTCATTTCTAGCTGGAGACATGAACTTTCTGTAGGCAAAGTATGAAATGGTGGCAGTATAACCCAAGCAGTATAACCCAAGGAGCAGAGGATAAGTTCAACTAGCCCCAGATGTGATGACGCAGCTAGCTCAAAGCCGAAAGGAAGGCTAGCGGCCGACGGTACTGGAGGTGAACGACGAATCCGATGCTCTAAAGATCAACACACCATAGGAACCTGGAATGTAAGATCTATGAGCCAGGGCAAATTGGATGTTGTTATTGGCGAGATGTCAAGACTAAAGATAGACATTCTGGGGGTCAGCGAACTGAAGTGGACTGGAATGGGCCACTTCACATCAGATGACCACCAGATCTACTACTGCGGACAAGAGGAACATCGAAGAAATGGAGTAGCCTTCATAATTAATAAGAAATTCGCTAAAGCGGTGCTTGGATACAACCCAAAAAATGACAGAATGATCTCAATTCGAGTGCAAGGAGAGCCTTTCAACATTACAGTGATCCAAATATACGCCCCAACCACAGCTGCTGAAGAAGCAGAAGTAGATCAGTTCTATGAGGATCTGCAGTACCTACTGGTTAATACACCAAAAAGAGACATTATTTTCCTTATAGGAGACTGGAATGCCAAGGTGGGAAGTCAAATGACAACTGGGATCACAGGCAAGCACAGTCTGGGACAACAAAATAAAGCAGGACGCAGGCTGATAGAATTTTGCCAGGAAAACTCACTGTGTAGAATGAACACTCTCTTCCAGCAACCTAAAAAGACGGCCTTACACATGGACCTCACCAGACGGTCAACACCGAAATCAGATTGACTACATCCTTTGCAGCCAAAGGTGGCGGACATCCATCCAGTCGGTGAAAACAAGACCTGGGGCTGACTGTAGCTCAGATCACGAACTTCTTATTGCCCAATTTAGAATAAAACTAAAGAGATCAGGGAAATACACAGACCAGTTAGATATGATCTCACTAACATTCCTAGCGAATATACAGTGGAAGTGAAGAACAGATTTGAAGGACTAGATTTAGTAAACAGAGTCCCAGAAGAACTATGGACAGAAGTCCAGACAATGTTCAGGAGGCTGCAACAAAGCACATACCAAAGAAAAAGAAAACCAAGAAGGCAAAATGGTTGTCTGCTGAGACGCTGGAAGTAGTCCAAGAAAGGAGCAAAGCAAAAGGAAACAGTGATAAGGAGAGATATGCCCAATTAAATGCGCAATTCCAGAAGTTAGCCAGAAGAGATAAAGGACTATTTTTAAACAAGCAATGACCAGAGACCTCTTCCAGAAAATTATAAACATTGGAGGTAAATTTCAGGCAAAAATTGGCATAATAAGAAACAAAGATGGCAGGATCTAACAGAAGCTGAAGAGATTAAGAGAAGGGGGCCAGAATATACAGAAGATCTTTATAGGAAGGATAATAATATCGAGGATAGTTTTGACAGTGTGGTGAATGAATTAGAACCAGACATCCTGAGGAGTGAGGTAATGGGCCTTAAGAAGCATTGCTAACAACAAGGCAGCAGGAGACGACGGGATCCCAGCTGAACTGTTTAAAATCTTGAAAAGATGATGCTGTCAAGGTGATGCATGCCATATGCCAGCAAATATGGAAAACACAAGAATGGCCATCAGACTGGAAAAAAATCAACTTATATTCCCATACCAAAAAAGGGAAATGCTAAAGAATGCTCAAACTTTTGTACAGTGGCCCTTATTTCTCATGCCAGTAAGGTAATGCTCAAGATCCTGCAAGAAAGTCTCCAGCAATACATGGAGAGAGAGTTGCCAGATGGAGAAGCTGGGTGTAGAAAAGGCAGAGGAACGAGAGACCAAATTGCCAATATCCGCTGGATAATGGAGAAAGGCAGGGAGTTTCAGAAAAAATCTACTTCTGCTTCATTGACTATTCTAAAGCCTTTGACTGTGTGGATCATAATAAATTGTGGCAAGTTCTTAGTGGGATGGGCATCCCAAGCCACCTTGTCTCTCTCCTGAGGAATCTGTACAAGGACCAAGTAGCAACAGTAAGAACTGACCATGGAACAACAGAGTGGTTCAAGATTGGGAAAGGCGTACGGCAAGGCTGCATCCTCTCACCCAACCTTTTTAACTTGTATGCAGAACACATCATGCGCTGTGCGGGGCTGGATGAATGCAAAGCTGGGGTGAAAATTGCTGGAAGAAACATTAACAACCTCAGATATGCAGATGACACCACTCTGATGGCCGAAAGCGAGGAGGAGCTGAGGAGCCTTCTAATCAAGGTGAAAGAAGAAAGCGCAAAAGCCGGGCTGCAGCTAAACGTCAAAAAAACCAAGATTATGGCAACAAGAATGATTGACAACTGGAAATAGAGGGAGAAACCGTGGAGGCCGTGACAGACTTTGTATTTCTAGGTGCAAAGATTACTGCAGATGCAGACTGTAGCCAGGAAATCAGAAGACGCTTACTTCTTGGGAGGAGAGCAATGTCCAGTCTCGATAAAATAGTAAAGAGTAGAGACATCAGACTGGCAACAAAGATCCGCCTAGTCAAAGCCATGGTATTCCCTGTAGTCACCTACGGATGTGAGAGCTGGACCTTAGGGAAGGCTGAGCGAAGGAAGATCGATGCTTTTGAGCTGTGGTGCTGGAGGAAAGTGCTGAGAGTGCCTTGGACTGCGAGAAGATCCAACCAGTCCATCCTCCAGGAAATAAAGCCCGACTGCTCACTGGAGGGAAGGATACTAGAGACAAAGTTGAAGTACTTTGGCCACATCATGAGGAGACAAGGAAAGCCTAGAGAAGACAATTATGCTGGGGAAAGTGGAAGGAAAAAGGAAGAGGGGCCGACCAAGGGCAGATGGATGGATGGCATCCTTGAAGTGACTGGACTGACCTTGAGGGAGCTGGGGGTGGTAACGGCCGACAGGGAGCTCTGGCGTGGGCTGGTCCATGAGGTCACGAAGAGTCGGAGACGACTGAACGAATGAACAACAACACATAACCCAAGCTAAAACCCTTGTGATATGATGGACTACAAGTCCATGCTGATGGAGGTGAGTATTGATATGAATCATCTCACAGTCCAATGAGATGGAGTTTTGTGCGGGGGAATAGACTTCCAGAAATGGTTCTGGAAGCACTTATTTCCCTGTATGAAACTGCCCAAGCTTCATACTAGCTGGGGATGATGGAGGTGAGCATTAATATTCCATCTCACAGTCCAATGAGATGGAATTTTAGACCATCGTTGAAGTGTGATAGACCTCCAGAAATGAATCTGGGAGACTATATTTCCCCTTATGAGGTTGCCCAAAATTCATGCTAACTAAGGATGATGGAAGGAGGGGAATGTGAGTATTATTTCATCTCACCATCCAATGAGATGGAGTTTTGTGGGTTTTGTGTGAAGAGAAAAAAAGGTTCCAGACTTGGGTCCAGATACCCAGAAGACCACATTTCCCCATATGAGATCACACAGGCTTTCTGCTAGGTGAGAACAATGGATTTGAGCATTATTATTCCATCCCAAAGTTCAATGAGATAGGATTTCAGACCATTATGGGAAGTATGATGGGGAAAATCTTCAGAAATGAATATGGTGGGGATCATGGGGGTTTCTATTTCAGTAGCAAAATGACAGTTGTGAAGAAGCAACACAAATAATGTTATGGTTGGGGGTCAACACAACATGAGGAATTTTATTAAGGGGTCGCAGCATTAGAAAGGTTGAGAAACACCGATCTAGAGATTTCTAGAGAGAACATAATGAAATCTGCAAAAGTTAAATCCACAACTGATGGTGTGTGTGTGTATCTTTGTGTCAATACTCCCAGGCGACATAATGACCTGTTACCTTCGCTTTGCTCTTGTGGTGTTGGATCCAAAACCTGCCACCCATCATATCCCTCTGGAAGATCTGGACGTCCCATCCAAGATTCAACCCAGCAGTGAAAATTCCTAAAGGAATCATAGAATCATAGAATCAAAGAGTTGGAAGAGACCTCATGGGTCATCCAGTCCAACCCCCTGCCAAGAAGCAGGAATATTGCATTCAAATCACCCCTGACAGATGGCCACCCAGCCTTTGTTTAAAAGCTTCCAAAGAAGGAGCCTCATGGGGGGGGGGGGAAGGGTGGGAGGCACAATGACCTAGACGTGGGTACAAGTAATGGAATTCAACATATTCAAAACAATCCAAATTAAAACAATATGAAACGTTAATACACACACACACACACACACACATACATACATACATATTGGCTTTCAAAAAGCCATTAAACAATTTAGGAGATGAAAAACATTAAACATCAAAATCTATATAAATAAAAATGTAATGTTCGTTTGTGGGATTAACATAACTCAAAAACTGAATGAATTCACATGAAATTTGATGAATTGGAGATTGGATGAATTTGAATAAGGAAAAGTGCTTAAACTTAGAGGGCCATGACCTGAGGGTAGGCTGGCACGCTTATGTGTGGTATAATAGAGAATCTAAGGAAAAATTTGGAAATCATTTCGTGCGAGCCTCCCTATTGAGGACATGGTTAAGATACAAAGCCCTCTTTTATAAAGTTACACCTCTTTGGGTCTCGGCGATGGAGGCCCATCAAAGAAGACTCTTAGGATGGAGGATTTGGCCAAGATACAAGGATATTCTGTTGAAAGGGGAAATGAAGATTAAATCGTTTGAACAACTTAAGAACATGTTCGGAAATATAACCTGGTTACACTACCTTCAAATTAAAGAGCACTTCAAACAAGATCAAAAAATTGGATTTGACTGGGAAGAAAATACATGGGATAAAGTTTTAAAAATTGAGAAAAAGGTAGTCACAATTCTTTACAACAAATTGATCCAATGGCAAACGGAAAAAGAGCAGGTTAAAAATTGTATGATTAAATGGGCCGAAAATCTAAGACGGCCCATCCAATTTAGAGAATGGGAACAAATGTGGAATAAAAAGTTGAAATATACTTATGCCATGGATTTGAAGGAAAATTGGTACAAAATGTTTTATAGATGGTATCTGACTCCGAATAAACTAAGCCATATGTACCCAAATGTCTCAGATAAGTGTTGGAAATGTGGAGAACAAACGGGCACATTCTTCCACATGTGGTGGACGTGCAAAGAAACAACTAAGTTCTGGGCATCTATACATGAAGAAATACAAAAGATACTGAAGAGAAGGTTTAGAAAGAAACCTGAATATTATTTATTAGGATTTACGGACTCTGACCTTAAAGTAGAGGAAAATGAAGATAAATTATTCACGTACTTTACCACTGCGGCAAGAATTATTTTTGCCAAATTTTGGAAAAATGAACAGATACCTACTGTTGAAGAATGGTTGGAGAAAGTCAAAGAAATTAGAGACATGGATGAATTGACATTTTTAATGAGAAGAAATACCGGGAAACCGCTAAAGAGAACAGACTGGACTTCTTTTTATGATTATGAAAAGAAATTTAGAAAAATATTAGAGGATAAGAATAGACAAGAGTAGAAGAAGTTGATGGAAAAGATCCTGATGTTGGAGTGGAAGTCATTTTAGAATAGTTTAGGTTAGTTTAGTCTCTTTTTTGTCGTTTTTTTTTTGTCCTTTTTTTCTTTTTTCCTACTTTTCTATTTTCTTCTTATTGTTCCCCCTCTTTCGTTGTCCTGTTTTATAAAATACTTAATAAAAATCATTAAAAAAAAAAAAGAATTCACATGAAATTTAGACACTACATCTCTAACGGACCTATGAGTGACCATCACTCATAAACCCCTCCCAAAAAACAGCGGAAAGGACTCTTGCACCCTAGAGCAGGAACAGGACCCTCTAATCATTAATTAGACCACACCTTGGATGAAAGAAGAGTCATTTTTTATTTGAAGAATAACTGGAGCCAATAAAAGAGATGAATATAAAGTTGATAGAAGTCCAAAAGCAAAAGCCAAATAAGCAGCAACATAAACAGTGTCCAAACATAAGAATAATAACAAAGTTCTAAAAGCTTGCTGTAATAATCCAAATGCAGAGAAATACCAAAAACCTTCAATATGAACTTAGCCACTGCTAATCCACTGCAACCTTCAATATGAACTTAGCCATGAACTTAGTCACTGCTAATCCACTTGAAAAGCCATGAATCCTTAGAGACAAGGCCACATGAAACGAATATCTAGAAGACTTGACTGGATACCAAATGCTGGTCTAAAGAAAATTCCCTTAGAGCTCAATTTAAGTCCCAAAAACTGGTTCCTACTTCCCTCAGTTTTTGGCCTTAACTGCCGAATTCTTTCTGACCTGCGTAAACATTGGGCCTCTCTAAGATTCTGGCTGGGGTGAAAATTGCTGGAAGAAACATTAACAACCTCAGATATGCAGATGACACCACTCTGATGGCCGAAAGCGAGGAAGAGCTGAGGAGCCTTCTAATCAAGGTGAAAGAAGAAAGCGCAAAAGCCGGGTTGCAGCTAAACGTCAAAAAAACCAAGATTATGGCAACAAGAATGATTGACAACTGGGAAATAGAGGGAGAAAATGCGGAGGCCGTGACAGACTTTGTATTTCTAGGCGCAAAGATGACTGCAGATGCAGACTGTGGCCAGGAAATCAGAAGACGCTTCCTTCTTGGGAGGAGAGCAATGTCCAGTCTCGATAAAATAGTAAAGAGTAGAGACATCAGACTGGCAACAAAGATCCGCATAGTCAAAGCCATGGTCTCCTGTAGTCACCTACGGATGTGAGAGCTGGACCTTAGGGAAGGCTGAGCGAAGGAAGAGAGATGCTTTTGAGCTGTGGTGTTGGAGGAAAGTGCTGAGAGTGCCTTGGACTGCGAGAAGATCCAACCAGTCCATCCTCCAGGAAAGAAAGCCCGGCTGCTCATTGGAGGGAAGGAGACTAGAGACAAAGTTGAAGTCCTTTGGCCACATCATGAGGAGACAGCAAAGCCTAGAGAAGGGAATGATGCTGGGGAAAGTGGAAGGCAAAAGGAAGAGGGGCCGACCAAGGGCAAGATGGATGGATGGCATCCTTGAAGTGACTGGACTGACCTTGAAGGAGCTGGGGGTGGTGACGGCCGACAGGGAGCTCTGGCGTGGGCTGGTCCATGAGGTCACGAAGAGTCGGAGACGACTGAATGAATGAACAACAACAACAAAGATTCTGGCTGATTTCTAGATGGCGACTGGTCTTACCTATCTCCTCATTAGCTTCAGCAGGTGTGAAACTTTCTTGCAAACTGGAGCCTGGAGAAGGGAGTAAACTTTCCTGTCTTCCCGTGGCAGGAACTTTCTCATGAGAACTTAGCTTTTCCCTGACCCTTCTCGATCAGAGTCTGCAGTAACCTTATTGTCCAAAGTGTCTCCATATTAACTTTAGATTATATTAACTTTATTTGTACCCCGCTAGCATCTCCCAAAGGACTCGATGCGGCTTACAAAGGCCAAGGCCTCAAAACACAACATAACAATACAACACCTAAAGCAAATTAAAAACAGTTAAGCAATATTAACAACAAGCAATAAACAATACATCAAGACACTATAAAACTGGGCCAGGCCAGAGTAACGGGTACAGGGTTAAAAGTGCTGATGTGACAGGTGACATGTAAGGATTATAGGGTATTTTTCACCTCATCCTCATTGACATTGTTCACATCAGGTTCACTATCCAAATCAGACCCAGAAACATTAGAAGGGGGAAACACTATAACAGATTCAGGCTCAAACACAGGCTGAGTCCCAATAAGGACTTAAAAACATCCAAAAGCTAAATGACAATACAGTGCATGTGCGAAAATGGCAGCATTTAAACTGCATATATCAACCTTTAAAATGGCACAACACTGCCCTTGAAGTTCACTCTTGGGGTTGGTTTATAAAGTCAAAAGGACAGAAATGTTTTGAACTGGAATCTCAGGAGTTGAAGTTCGGCAAGCTCTCAAAGCCTTGGATTCCTAGTAATGAAACTATTCTGCTGGAGTGTTTTCATGCATCACAAAGCTCCAAATCCTAGGATCTAAAAGTATTAAGATATTGTAGTGAAAGTGGTGCCCAGCTGCATCCACCTGAGCATCAAGTGACAGCGTTGAGTCCAGGAGAGCCCCAAGCTACAGACCTGAACCCTCAGGGGGAGTGTAACCCTGTCGAGCACAGGCTGCGACCCAATATCCCGGTCAGCCCCGTGACTGACCAGGAGGACATCTGTCTTGTTTGGATTAAGCTTCAACCTGTTAGCCCTCATCCAGTCCATCACAGCTGTCAGAAACTGGTTCAAGGTCTGGGAGGCTTCCTTGGAATTTGGTGGAAATGAGTAGTAGAGTTGGGTGTCATCTGTGTACAGATGGCACCCAACTCCAAAACTCCAGATAACATCATCCAGTGGTTTCATGTAGATATTAAAAAGCATGGGGGATAGAATGGAACCTTGTGGGACCCCACAGATCAAGGCCATGGGTCCGAGCAGGTATCCCCCAGCTTCACCAACTGGGAATGACCCTCCAGGAAGGAGCGGAGCCACTGCAGTGTAATGCCCCCAAGACCCATTGTGGAGAGGTTCCCCAAAAGGATACTATGGTCGATGGTATCGGAAGCCATTGAGATATCCAGGAGAATCAACAGGGACACACTCCCCGTCAAGCTGTCTTCGGAGGTCATCCACCAAGGCAACCAAAGCCACCTCAGTACCATGGCCAGGCCTAAAACCAGACTGCAATGGATCTAGCTATCCCTGGAGTTGGGAGGCCACCACTCGCTCTAGAACCTTGCCCAAAAAAGGGAGGTTAGAAATTGGCCGGTAGTTATTTAGGACCGAGGAATCTAGGGACGCCTTTTTGAGTAATAGTCTCACAATCGTACTTTTCAGGCTGGATGGAATATGTTCCTGTTCCAATGAGGCATTTATAATCTTTGAGATCCACTCGAACAACCCCCCCATTGGCAAGCTTGATCAGCCAGGAAGGGCAAGGGTCCAGGGAACAGGTGGTTGCTCTCACCGCTCCAAGAATCTTGTCCATGTCATCAGATTGAACAGGTTCAAACGAATCCATCAAAACCAGACAGATAGGTACCTCCTGTCTGTCTGGTTAAAGTGCTGAGCTGCTGAACTTGCTGACCGAAAAGTCACAGGTTAGAGTCCAGGGAGCGGGTGAGCTCCCAATGTTAGACCCAGCTTCTGCCACCTAGCAGTTCGAAAACATGCAAATGTGAGTAGATCAATAGGTGGGAAGGTAACGGCGCTCCATGCTGTCATGACAGCCACAGGAGCTTGGAGGTGTCTACGGACAACGCTGACTCTTTGGCTTAGCAATGGAGGTGAGCACCACCCCCCAGAGTCAGACACAACTGGACTTAATGTCAGGGGAAAACCTTTACCTTATCTGAGTCTACACTGCTATATTATTATTATTATTATTATTATTATTATTATTATTATTATTATTATTATCTTTATTTGTACCCCGCTAGCATCTCCCGAAGGACTCGAGGCGGCTTACAAAGGCCAAGGCCTCAAAAACACAACATAACAGTACACAACCTAAAGCAAATTAAAAACAGTCAAAGCAATATTAAAACAACAGCAATAAAACAATACACCAAGACACAATAAAACTGGGTAATGGGTACAGATTAAAAGTGCTGATGTTACAGGTGATATGTGGGATTATAGGGTAAGTGCAGTGTGCCAGCAATCTTAATTTCTAATAAAGTGCTTATGGGACTTGTTGAAGTTTTCCTATTCTGGAAAGGCACATTGCACTTATTATTATTATTATTATTTCATCTACTTATACCCCACCCTTCTCACCCCGGGGGGGACTCAGGGCGGCTTACAAAGGAGGCACAATTAGATGCCCAAATCACACAACAAACAATACAAAATATAACAGTTCAACAATTAAAATGAAACATCAATACCTATTAAAATCATAAAAACTATCTCATGTCAGAGTCCATATATCAGAGTCCATATATCCATTCCATTCCATTGTCCTTGTCTATCGATAGGTCCTTTGATCAGTTGTCAGCATGGCCAAAAGCTTGGTCCCACATCCAGGTCTTTAGTTTTTTCCTAAACGCTAGAAGGGAAGTCGTCGATCTGATCTCCCCGGGGAGTGAGTTCCACAGGTGGGGGGCCACCACTGAGAAGGCCCTGCTCCTCGTCCTCGTCTCACTTGTGCCACTGGCGGGGTCGAGAGCAGGGCCTCCCCAGAAGATCTTAAACTTCGAGGTGGGATGTAGACGGAGATCTGTTCGGACAGATACACTGGGCCGGAACCGTATAGGGTTTTGTAGGTCAAAACCAGCACTTTGAATTGTGCTCGGAATTGGACTTACCCTATAATCCCACATATCACCTGTCCAGTTCAAAGCAGATAATCTGGATTTTAAGCCTCTGTGTAGAAGGGGGTTGAGGCTGGATCTACACTGCCCTGTATCCCAGATTATCCACTTTGAATTAGATTATATGAGGGCTTTTCCACACACCATGTAACCCAGAATATCAAGACAGAAAATATCACAATATCTGCTTTGAACTGGGTTATCTGGGTCCACACTGCCATATATTCTAGTTCAAAACAGAGAGTGTGGGATTTGCTGCCTTGATAGTCTGGGTTATATGGCTGTGTTGAAGGGCCCTTAGTCTCTGGAGCAGCAGAAAACAAGTTTTCCCACTTCTTCAATTGGACATTTTTTCAAATATTCAAACAATAATTTATTGTACTTCCATGTCTGCCCTACAAACAAGATATGTGCAGTGTGCATAGGAATCCATGTTTTTTCTCAAACTATAGTCCGTCCCCACAGCCATCTGAGGGACTGTGAACCAACCCTTGTCTTCAAACTTAGTGTAGAGGCACACCTTGCTGCCCAGGGGAGACCTTAGTGGCCAGGGGTCTTCTACTTACCAGCAGGATTCTTGGAGGCCTGGCAGCAGATCACCATTCTCATCCAGAAAATGCTCTACAATCAGGTTACCATTGGCATCATGGGCAGACTTGTAGTTGGTGACCACGCGGGTGGGGATGCCCAGGCAACGGAGCACTAGAGAAAGCAGAGAGAGAGTGAGGAAATACGTAGATATCACCAGACCTTCTGACATTTAGGGGTGCAATTTAGCATCTTGAAGGGTTCATCTGCACTGTAGAATAAATGCAATTTGACACCACCTAGGGGTCCTGGGCTTGTAGTTTTGTGATGCACCGGTGCTATCTGACATGGAGGCTCAAGATCTTGTAAAACTACAACTCCCAGCATCCCATAGCATTGAGTCATGGTAGTTAAAGTGGTGCCAAACTTAATATATTCTACAGTGTATGAGGGTTGAATGAAAAGTAATGCCTCCACCTTCGTAACTCCTCAACAGATGGCAGTACTGGTATGTGGCAGGTACTGGCTAGTTCAATAGACTCTCCTCTACAGTTCCATTTTGGTGGGAAGCCTTAACATTGAACGGTTGTGTTGTTAAAGTGAGAAGTATGTAACCCTGCGCACACGGCCGGTCAATGCGACTTAAGCAAAGTGCAGTCATTGAATTCTTGACAGCAGAAAATGTCAGCCCAAAGGAGATTCATCAGAGAATGCAAGCTGTTCATGGTGATTGTGTTGATGTTAGTACTGTGCAAGTAAGTTTAAAGATGTTTTTTTTAATTTTTTCTTTATTGTATTGTTAACAACTATTTGAAATACATTTACTTTACATTGCTTTGGTTTCAATACATTTTTTTCTTTCCACCCCTTAACCCTCCCCCTCCCCCCATTGACAAGTTGGTCCTTCTCCCTTTATTCAAGTCATCATTGCATTCTATCTAGTTTTTTTCCAGTGATCATCTTCTGGTTTAGCTTCTTGTATCCAATTTTTAAAGGGTGACCATATTTCTTTGATTTCCTTCTGCTTTTCTGTCCATAGTTTTTCATTTCATTTCTTATAATGTTCATAATTTCCAATTGAACTTGTTCCCACATATATTCATACCATTTTCCTAGGGTCCATTTCTTTTTTTCTTTCTAAGTTTAAAGATGTTGAGGTGGGAACATCTGACTTGTGTGACAAACAAAGAGTTGGATGTCCTGTGACCGCACACTTCACATGCCACCACAGCAGAACTTCAGAGATTGAATCTCACCACCATACAGCATCCTCCATACAGTCCAGATTTAGCACCATCTGACTTCCATCTGTTTCCGTTGTGACTCAGTTTGACTCTGAGTCTGAAGCTGAGCCCTGTGGGACTTGTGAGCCAGAGTTCCTACAAGATGATGAGGAGGATGATGGGTTACAGATTTCTGTACATATTTCAGACAGGGTTGATGGTGGGGCTGCAGAAGGGAAAACAGCAAGTCAGTTCTCAGGGGAAAAATGTTAGTGAAACTGATAACGAGAGTGAAATCCCACACGGCCAGGTGGAGATGTCTTTGCCTTCTTTGCCTTCCCATGGTGATTCAGTCCAGCTGTAAGACCAAGATAAGGGGTTAGAGAGCCTTGAAGATAATGAATTAATGAGCAGGCAAGATCGTCTGCAATTAAGGGTCCGGAGAAATGCTCACTTGGCTAGCAAGCAAGAAGCCAAGTCTGCCAAAGGTCATCGCAATGCATTCATGTCTGCCAAGGGTATTTAGCCTTCTCGCTGACAAACGGGTTGTCAGTTCAATGTAGCTCTTTCCATGCAAACTTCTATGGATTAACCTTGGCTTTAAGCAGCACGCTTCTGGGTTCCTGAGTCTGGGATTTTGGGTCCTGTGTTCAACTGTTTTTCCATGGACTATTGTTTGACCACTGCTTAAAAGATCATGCTTCATGTTTTTACCTTTGGATCTTGGAAATTGTGTCTTTGCATTTAAACCTTATGGAACTTTTGCATTTTTATACTGTTTTGTCAGACAACCGACACCGAGGAGCCTATGCAATTGGCCTCGATTTGCCCCAAGATCGATGCTGCTGAAAAGGCAAGGTGGCAGCAGCTGAATTTGTGTTGGTACTGTGGGGTGAGTGGACATTTTTCTTGAGAGTATCCAGTGAAAAAGAAGGCAAGTCCTCAGCTGGCGGGGGCTTCCGGAACCTCTGAGCCCATGGCGTTTGCGAGAATCTGCCAGAGAAGCCGGTGGGGTAAGGCAACGACAAAGTTTAGATGGGCTCGCTAACTCGGTCTCTTTCCTGCCTCCAGACCCCGCAACTGGGATGTTGTTTTTCATTTTGGTCTCCTTCTGCGTGGTGCAGAAGACTCCAAAGGCGGCCCATGCCTTGGTGGATTGTGGAGCAACCAACAATTTCATTGACCATCATTTCGTGAAGTTTCTTGGAGTACAGTGCTGGGATCTGCAACCCCCTTGGGATGTACAAAACTTTGATGGGCGTCTATTGAAAGTGGGACCGGTAGCTTGCTATACCGTGCCCTTTCAGATGGGGATTGGGGACAATGCTGAGGAGATCTCCTTTTTTATTACCGAGCTTCCCCACCCGGTGGTGTTGGGGATCCCGTGGTTGGTGAAGCATGACCCAAACATCTTGTGGTCCCAGCTGGAACTCCAGTTTACTTCAGCATTTTGTAAAGAACATTGCAACCTGAGACAGTGATGCCAAGCCCCGGAGGTCGTGGCTCACATCATGAGCGCTTTGCCTCAGAAATACCAGGATTTTTGGAATGTATTCAGTGAGAAAGAGGCAGAGCGACTGCCTCTGCAGCAGCCTTACGACTGCGTGATTGACCAGGTGCCGGGCGCCCCAATTCTGCGTGGGCGCTTGTATTCCCTCTCGGAACTAGAGCTGGCCGCTCTCCGAGAGATTTTGGATACCAACCTACGCAAGGGGTTAATTCGCCCATTGCAGTTGCCGGTTGGGGCTCCAGTCCTGTTTGTCAAGAAAAAGTCAGGCGAGTTGCGGCTGTGCAACAACTACTGGGCTTTGAACAACATCACGATCAAGAACCGTTATCCTCTGCCTTTGATTCCAGATCTCCTTGACCGGCTAAGAGTCTTTACCAAATTAGACTTGCGGGGAGCTTGCAACTTAGTGTGCATTCGAGAAAGGGACGAATGGAAGACAGCTTTCCAGACACACTTTGGGAGTTATAAGTACCGAGTAATGCCATTCGGGCTGTGTAACATTCTTGCCACATTCCAGCACTTTGTCAACAATGTCTTCCATGACTTTTTGGATCGCTTCCTGGTCATCTATCTGGACGTTGAGAGAACTGTGAGAAGCTGGTTGCAGAAACAGAGTGTCAACTTCTTCCATGACAGCTTCAGAAAACTTTTTCATTGTTGGCATAAATGTATCCAATTGTCTGGTGATTATGTGGAAAAGTGAATAGTGGTAGTTAAAGAGCACATTCTAAGGATTATTTCTGCATTTGATTTATTAAAATATTCTATCCAAACCCAAGTAACGAAGTTGGAGGCATTACTTTTCATTCAACCCTCATAGATACACACCTCATTATATGGCTGGGTTTTGATAGCACTGGTCTAAATCCAGGGGGTAGGACCAAGTAGATTAGAGTCATTAAATCAAGGTAAGCGTAAACTCAGCCCCCTTCTATACTGCCACAGTGTAGAAGGGGCCTCAGCATTCTGCAACTGCATCAGTGGGACTGAAAATGCATCTACATACTATAGTTTTGAGCTGTGACAGTTAAAGTGGTGTCAAACTGTATTAATCCCAAAGTGTAGATGTATCCAAAGGAGAACAATTTCCAAAGACTACAAAACTTCAACTCCTGGAATTCCATAGCATGGAGCCCTGGCAGTCATTGTGGTCTCAAACTGCAAACATTTTACAATGTGGATGCACACTAAGACCCCTTATACACTGCCATATAAAATCCAGATTATCTGCTTTGAACTGGATTATATGGCAGTATATACTCATTTAATCCTGTTCAAACAAGATAATGTGGATTTTCTGTTTGGATAATCTGGATTATATGGCAGTGTAGAAGGGGCCTAGGAGGACTGCCCAGGGATCCTGGGAGGTGCAATCCAGTGAGAGAAACTTTCTGAAAGATTGGGAGAGAACAGTGTAGGGAGTGAATAAAGAGGGTGGTATGAACCCTGCCTTTTCTTTTCAAGGTTCCTCACCTGTGCATGCCACGGCTGCAAAGACCCAGCACTGCCCATAATGGACGGGTTGGCAACCGGATTTCTGCCACCTCTGCAGGATGTTCACGCTTCCGCTCCAGGTGTTGGGATGCACTCCGCCCACATAGCAATTATCCCATCGTCCAGAAAGGATGCCTTGGTCATCATTGCAATTCACCTACAGACCAGGAAAGCAGAGCAAATCAGAACTGCAGAGTTCAACCCAGGATTTCTACTCAGTATTGCCCAGATTTTGGTCTTCCAGGTGTTTTGGACTGTGGCTTCCAGAATCCTAAGCAGTTGAAACTTCTGGGAGTGGGAATCCAAATGAGGATGACCCACTGAGAACTCCCTGCTTTCAATTTGATCTGACCTGCAGCAGGGAGTTCCTCAGATCCAGGATGCCCTGTTGGGCCAGACCCCTACACTGTGGGAATAACCTTTTATTAAATAGTATTAAATTTGAAGGAAGAACAGCTGATTGTCATCCAAGGTTCTCTGACACTGCACTGCTTTTACTGCCCACTTAGCACTGCTCTGGAGATCGCGGCTGGGGGAAACTTGCTGTGGTCATCCCGTGGGACCCCCTGAAGGCAGCCCAAACATCTTGGTCCCGAGATCCGGAGGGTTGTAGTTTCCCGTGGATGAATGGGCAAGGGTCGGCCCCAACTGCGGCGGAAACCTTCATCTGGATCCGGGGAGCCTCATGGGATTACCCTGCAGATTTGTAGGCTTTCCCCAGATGCTGCCGGGCTCCTGGCCCGCTCTTGGAAAACTTTTTATAAACTTTTACAAACTTTTATGAACTTCCCCTGATGAAGTTGGACTCTATGGACTCACCTGGACCTTTCCCTACACCCTGGGCCATGATCAGGGCCTACATTAACTTTCAGTGGAACTCTGTCCAACTTTGGCGAACTTCTGGAAACTTTTAAAAACTTTTCCCCCCTTGGACTTCATGACTTCCCTTATGATTTATGTATCCAGAGGGACCTTTTGGGTGGTGGGATGGATTGAAACGATTTTCCCTTATGAATGTATGTCTTATGAACCCCTATGTGTCTATATGAAATTATGAAATGCTACCCCTGTGTGACCCAGCACACCATGAGCCTCAGGGAAACTCTCCCATTTCCTGGGGTAAGTGTTTCCCCATTTGAGAGGACTCAACTGAAACTCCTTGCATGAACAGGACAAAGGGCATTTCCTCCAGGCTTTGGAACAAGGCCACCTGGAAGAGTATGCCATCTGCTAAACCTAATCACTTATCAAAAGGGACAAACAGCCTTCAAAAAGCCACGATTGTTCTAACTGCTTCACCCTTCACCTATTGATTAGAGAGTTGGTTTGCTTTTTTTGCTGCCCCAGAGACTAGGATGCAATGGAGCAATGAGTTCAGATGATAAGAAAACAGTCTCCACCTAAACATTACAAAGAGCTTCCTGACAGTAAGAACTGCTCAGCAGTGGGATCCTGTGCTGCTGTTGCACCTCAGCTAGACATCACCTTGCTCAAGCACTCACCAGGAAGCCAAACGTAGTAATAAACAGTTTATTGATAAAACTCACGCACAGTAAAAGAGTAAAAATCCAAATATTTAAAGAGAGAAAGAGTCCCAAAAAGCCAGAGATAAATCTTCAGTGCAAAGGTTAATGCATGATCCCTAATCCAAGGTACATGGAACAAAACATGAGCTTGATTAATCCAAGAGACCAGGAATGAAACATGAACTTGATTAGTCCAAGAAACAAGGAACAAAACACGAGCTTGAGTGCATGGTAAAATCCCCAAGACCGATAGCAAAACTTGACTAGGAAATGTGGCTTGAAGCTAAAAAATCACCAGGAACAAGGCAGGAGCTTCTAACTCCATTCGCGACATTGCTTGATCTGAAACCTAAGAGCTTCCTATCCCTAATTAAGGACAGCAATGCATGAAGGCATTCCATTGGACTTGAGAAGCCTGTCTCTGGCTCTCTTTCCCAAACCTCCCTTTCCCATGGCTTGGCTTGCACCTGGAATTCTTCCCTTGCAGAAGCAGCCTTGATTCTCTGTCCAACCCCCTTGCATCGGGTGAACTCATATCCTCCTCCCTTCTCTGCCTGTCAGTTTCTAAAGCAGTTCCATTTTCACACAGAGAATCAACATCTAATTCCAAATCCCCCTCTGTTCTCCCAACTGGGGAATCACCATCCTGTTCCAACATCCCACCGACCACCTACTGCAATGCACCCTGAGCCCTGCCACATGCACAAGGGAGGACCTTCTTGCAGCAACACCAGAAGCACTCCAAGTGGCCAGATACTGGTCAAAGGACATTTAATCAACTACCAAACTCACACATTTTGTATTTTGCCTGTTTGTTTGCTTTGTTCTGATAGAAATGTAATATAATTGGCTGGTTGCCCTGACGCAACAAATAAATAATCCAACATCCCATTGGTCTGAGCACCTGCAGAAGCATCAGGCCCTGCAAACCATGCACCCCAAACACCTCATCCTCATCATCAGCTGGCTGAACTACAACAGCTGCCTTGGAATCTGGGGGAGCATGCTTTCTCAAGTTTTTGCAACAGATGCTAGCCATCTTCCAAGACAGCTTGAATTGGATATTCTGATATGTCAGAAGGGTTGGACTTGACGGGCTGTTGTTATTGAACACAAGATCCTCCCCAAATATTTATAGTTTCCTAAAAGACATAGAGCCAGAATGAGATAAAGCACCATCCTTTATATTGTATGAAGTCTCTCTCTCCTTAAGCAAGAATGCATTAAAAGCCTCTGTCTTTTTGTCTTTGCTTCCTGGTGAGCCTTTAATCTGGAACTCTGATTATTAATTTTGGTTAGCAATGCTTGCCAGACTGACCCTCTCATATTATTGCGGTCTAAGTTCCCAGTCACAACTACCATCTAATAACCTTTTGGCTGGCTACTCACCATGGCACAAACCACGCGGCTGACATAGATGGGGCTGTTGCGAAGGGAGCAGTCCTTGTCTTGGTCGCGGAGGAAGTTCAGGCTGGTGTCCAGCATCTGCAGGCAGATGGCCACAATCCCCTTTTCAAACTAGAAGACAATAAACAATGCCTGATTGGGGAATGCCATGGATGTAGCATACCTGGATTTCAGTAAGGCCTTCGACAAGGTCCCCCATGACCTTCTGGCAAGGAAACTAGTCCAATGTGGGCTAGGCAAAACTACGGTGAGGTGGATCTGTAATTGGTTAAGTGGACGAACCCAGAGAGTGCTCACTAATGCTTCCTCTTCATCTTGGAAAGAAGTGACAAGTGGAGTGCCTCAGGGTTCCGTCCTGGGCCCGGTCCTGTTCAACATCTTTATTAATGACTTAGATGGGCTAGAAGGCATGATCATCAAGTTTGCAGACGACACCAAATTGGGAGGGATAGCCAATAGTCCAGAGGACAGGAGCAGAATTCAAAACGATCTTGACAGATTAAAGAGATGGGCCAAAACTAACAAAATGAAGTTCAACAGTGACAAATGCAAGATACTCCACTTTGGCAGAAAAAATGAAATGCAAAGATACAGAATGGGGGACGATGCCTGGCTCGAGAGCAGTACGTGTGAAAAAGATCTTGGAGTCCTCGTGGACAACAAGTTAAACATGAGCCAACAATGTGATGTGGCGGCAAAAAAAGCCAATGGGATTTTGGCCTGCATCAATAGGAGCATAGTGTCTAGATCTAAGGAAGTAATGCTACCCCTCTATTCTGCTTTGGTTAGACCACATCTGGAATATTATGTCCAATTCTGGGCACCACAATTCAAGAGAGATATTGACAAGCTGGAATGTGTCCAGAGGAGGGCGACTAAAATGATCAAGGGTCTGGAGAACAAGCCCTATGAGGAGCGGCTTAGGGAACTGGGCATGTTTAGCCTGAAGAAGAGAAGGCTGAGAGGAGATATGATAGCCATGTATAAATATGTGAGAGGGAGCCACAGGGAGGAGGGAGCAAGCTTGTTTTCTGCTTCCTTGGAGACTAGGACGCGGAACAATGGCTTCAAACTACAAGAGAGGAGATTCCATCTGAACATTAGGAAGAACTTCCTGACTGTGAGAGCCGTTCAGCAGTGGAACTCTCTGCCCCGGAGTGTGGTGGAGGCTCCTTCTTTGGAAGCTTTTAAGCAGAGGCTGGGTGGCCATCTGTCAGGGGTGATTTGAATGCAATATTCCTGCTTCTTGGCAGAATGGGGTTGGACTGGATGGCCCATGAGGTCTCTTCCAACTCTTTGATTCTATGATTCTATGATGTGTTTGACAGCCCTTTAACTTCTATGGGTCAATGGCTTCCCAGGGCATGTCTTTCAAAGTCTGAACACCCAAGATTTGCCAATAAGAAAAGTGTTTCCTCTGGTTGGAAACTGGGGTTTTCAAGATCTGCACTGAAGTGTTGGGGGGAGATGGGATGGGATGAGAAACATCATTTCCCAACAGTTTATTGAAAACTGATGCAAGCATTGCATGCGGGTTATAGTCTAAATCCAATAATAATAATAATAATAATAATAATAATAATAATAATACTTTATTTATACCCCGCTACCATCTCCCCAAGGGACTCGGTGTGGCTTACATGAGGCTGAGCCCAAAATACAACAATACAGCAATAACAACAACAATACAAGAAATTTAAAAACAACAAAACAATAAAACAATAACATAAGCATTATCAATAAGACAACACACTTTAAAATCTATGGGTAGGCCAAATGTAATTAAAATTAAAAATAATGCTGGACATGGGCAAAAAAGTGATGGGGCGGTTTGTGGAAACATACAAGCAGACCTAAAACAGTATAAAGTGCTTTGGAGGACAAAGTGCTATGGGATCATTATTCTGGGAAGGCACACTGGAACAACCACGTCTTCAAGCTCCTCCTAAAGACTGCCAGAGTTGGGGCCTGCCTGATGTCCTTAGAAAGTGAGTTCCAGAGTCGAGGGGCCACCACCAAAAAAAGCCCTCTCTCTCGTCCCCCACCAATCACGCTTGCGATACAGGTGGGAGCGCCATCAGGGCCTCTCCAGATGATCGAAGATATTGTGAATCCAAGAACTTTTGCAAACTCCACTTTGAACAGAAAATGACTAATAGCAGCCACGCCAAAGCAACTGACAGCATTGGGCTACACATAATAAACAAGGATTTCCACCTCACCTACCGCACAGGAAACCTGCTACAAAACAGGAGCTTTTTTGTTGAGTTCCAGGGCCAGAGAAGCAGATGGTATAAACAGAAGAACGGCCTGCTTCAGAGAAGCGTGCTTGCTCCATCCATGTTTAACATCTACACAAATGACCAGCCACTACCAGAAGGGACAGAGAGTTTCATCTATGCTGATGATCGTGCCATTACTGCACAAGCAGGGAGCTTTGAGATGGTTGAACAGAAGCTCTCCGAAGCTCTAGGTGCTCTTACTGCCCATTACAGAGAAAACCAGGTAGTCCCTACTCCATCTAAAACACAGACATGTGCTTTTCACCTTAAGAACAGACAAGCATCCCGAGATCTGAGGATGACCTGGGAAGGAATTCCACTGGAGCATTGCAGCACACCCAAATACCTGGGAGTCACTCTGGACCGTGCTCTGACCTACAAGAAGCACTGCCTGAATATCAAGCAAAAAGTGGGCGCTAGAAACAATATCATACGAAAGCTGACTGGCACAACCTGAGGATCACAACCAGAGACAGTGAGGACATCCACCCTTGCGCTGTGCTACTCTGCTGCTGAGTACGCATGCCCAGTGTGGAACACATCTCACCATGCTAAAACAGTGGATGTGGCTCTTAATGAGACATGCCGCATTATCACGGGGTGTCTGCGCCCTACACCACTGGAGAAACTACACTGTTTAACTGGTATTGCACCACCTGACTTCCGCCGGGAAGTACCAGCCAATAGTGAAAGGACCAAGGCAGAGACATCCCCAGCTCATCCCCTGTTTGGGTATCAGCCAGCACGTCAACTACTTAAATCAAGAAATAGTTTTCTAAGAACTACAGAGACACTCACTGGAACACATCAGCAAGCGAGAGTCCAAAAGTGGCAGGCTCAAACTCAGAACCTCAATCAATGGCTGATACCAAATGAGAGACTTCCCCCCCACCCCCTGGACACACAGAAAACTTGGCAACTTGGAAGGCACTGAACAGACTGTGCTCTGGCACCACAAGATGCAGAGCCAACCTTAAGAAATGGGGCCACAAAGTAGAATCCACAACATGTGAGTGTGGAGAAGAGCAAACCACTGACCACCTGCTGCAATGCAACCTGAGCCCTGCCACATGCACAATGGAGGGCCTTCTTATAGCAACATCAGAGGCACTCCAAGTGGCCAGATACTGGTCAAAGGACATTTAATAGAATGCCAAGTTTGTAAACTTTATGGGTTTTTTGTTTTCTGTTGTTGTTGTTTTGTTTTTTGATGCAATACAACTCTTTGGCTCACTCCTGACATGATAAATAAATAATAAATACACAAAGATAGGATAGAGAAGAATGATAGATATAAATGGATGATGGATGGATGGATGGATGGATGGATGGATGGATGGATGGATGGATGGATGGATAGATAGATAGATAGATAGATAGATAGATAGATAGATAGATAGATAGATAGATAGGTCAAACATACAGAGAGAAGGGGCAAACTTATAGCAGAAGTTGATAAATGGATAAACAAAAGCTAATAGATGGGGTGCTATTTCTCCCAGCTTTGTGTTGAATACTGATACAAGTTTTGCACGGGGATTGCAATCCAAATCAAATCACTTTCTCCTTTGAAGAGAAAATGTTGTTCAGCAGCTTTCCCAAAGCAATTCCTGTCCTGGGTATGAGTATTAGAGAGGAAGGGCCAGGCCTAGAGAACTGACACAATGACTTCAACACAGCCAAGATGCAATTTTGGAGAGTTGGGTTCAACCCAGTTTGGGATGAAAACTCCAAATCACTTTGGGAATCCAGTGGCCTACCCGTGGCTATCTTAGGCCTGATGTCATACAGAATGCCAACTCTACCAGCCAGACTGAGAGATGGCTAAAGGTCTCATAAAACTATAAAATCCCACAATTCTGTAGCATTGAGCCATCCCAGTCAAATTGCAGTAATTCCAGAGATTAGATGCAGCCCCAGTTGCAAGCACACTCGTTTCACTTTAACCATCTTATAGAACACTGGAATTTGTCTACATTTTCCTGCCGCAGCTCGGAAATGTATTTACACTTTATAGGAGTTTGATCCCACTTTAACTGTTACAGCTGAGAGAAACCCACCTGACCGAACATCCAAGGGATGGAATACATGTAGTCCTCATCTCCCATAAAGATCTGTCCATGTTGGGTCAGGACATATTCAATGCGGGCCTCTTCGCTTTCCATGTAGACAGTGTCACCTGAGCAAAGAGGAAAAAGACACAAATGGAAGAGTGCAAGGGAAAATGGAGAGAAAAACCAGTCATGCGCAGGAAGACGAACAATCAGAAATCAAGGCTGAAATTCTTTTTTGCGTTATGGAACCAGACACTCATTGTACTACACAATATAATAATACATAAATAATAATAAACTTTATTTAATACCCTGCCACCATCTCTCCAATGGGGACTCAGGGCGGTTTACATGAGGCCAAGCCCAACAGCATAGTACAATAAAATAAAACCAAAACACAATAACAACACAGTAAAATACATACAACATATGAGTACGAAAAAAACCCCCAATAAATCAAAATTATACACAATAAAATAACAATGAGCGGGTCACATGTGCTAGATAAGAAACTAAAATACTAAAAATACTAAAATCAGGTGAGACAGGGATGGAGCAGATTGTTTGTGAAGGAGAAACTCATAAAGGAACCCTATGATGGACTTGCAGCAGTGCTTAATTTGGTGTTTCCCCCCCTTTTTCCCTGTTTCTACCAATTTTTATTTAATGACACAAACTTACAATCAAACAAAGATATAAACAGAAAAACAGATTTTAAAAATGAGTTCAAATGACAGGAAAGGAGATTCCACCTGACTGTAAGAAAACCTGTTCAACAGTGGAACTCTCTGCTTTAGAGTCTGGTGGAAACTCCTTCTTTGGAGGCTTTTAAACAGGGGCCTTTACCCAGCAACCTGCGGACAACTCAGGATCCTACCAGCTTTAAGCGATATCAGAAGAAAAGGAGTCATTGTCTGTCAGGTTTTACAATGTATTGTAATGTAATATAGCTGAGTCATGCACTGCTAATAGGCTTCTATTGGAAATGCTGAGTCATGCATTAACTGTATATAGAACTTCATTTGGGGAATGTGTTCTGGCCTAGTCCAGGTGATTGTGAATAATGCAATCCTGGGTTTGAGTTAAGTCAATGAATTGGGAACCAATCAGTGATTGCTATGTGTAAATTAATTGTATATAAGGAAGTCATGTACAGTGTGTTTTCTCTCCATGTGCTGTGATGCTGTTTGCTGAAGGTTCTGTGTAATGTATTAAAAGAACCTGTCTGCTAAGACAAGATATAACTGTGTGCTGTGGTAAGTTTGTAATGTCATCTAGACTGGGGGAAAGACAATGGTAAAACTGACAATGGCCGGGCATGTGCTCAAGTGACTGTAAAAGAGTTCCAGAGTGACTGCAGTTTGTGGGAGCAATTGACTGAAAATACTGTGCAGGAAGAAGCTACTGGAAAGCGCTGAAGTTGTGCAACTGATCTGCTGCTGAATTGTGAAGTTAATCTCAACATTGTCCCTCTTTGGAAACATCAAGCAACAAGAATCCATGCATAGAGGTTGTTTACAAGAAAGTAAGCAATATTATCTTCCTTCTTCCTTCCTTTCTTTTGCAATTTGGGATTTCTGGAGGCTGACCCTCTCCCTGATGAATCCACCGCCATACTTATTCCCTCTGATCTTGAAAGATGCCAAGACCTTTTCTCAAATGTAGGATAACACCTTGAATTTAACTCATTTGACACCTCAATTCAAAAGAGATTCAAACCGGCTGCAAGGCTGACCTGAAGAATGCAATGTCGTTTCCTATTGGCCAAGGAGACCTACCTATGCACCATGGATTAAAGAGCAGGATGAATTCTCCAATGTAGTAGCAATACCCTTGACCCTTGGTGGAGGTATCCAGGGTCAGGCGGTAGCGGCCGATCCGGGCGTCCGGTGGAGGGAAGACGAACACAGTCAGGGAAGATTTGTCCTGGCTTTCCACGGCGGAACTCCATGCTGTCTTTTCCAGGGAGCAAGAAACAGGGAAGGAGGACTTGGTCCCAGATGTCTCATTGGGGCAAGGACCTATGGTAGGAAGGAGGAGAGAAGTAAAGGAAGATAGGAAGAAGAAAAGGAGGACGAGAAGAAAAGTGTCAGTGTGGGTTAGCATCACAATAACCCCGCCAGGTAGATGCACTCTAATCTGACATTCTTTCAGGCCTGAAAGAATAAAACCTCTGCTCTTTTGCCTTCAACTCGGTTTGTGTCCTGATTTGACTTTTGGTGTAGCATAGCATGCTGGGCTCTGGACTTGCAATTTTAGCAGACACTGAAATCACTCAACACTGTGGAGAAGCCACTTAACAGGGAGGCATTCTTGGAGAGAAGAACAAAATTAGGAACGCTGCTGGAAACGTGGAGAAACCACAATAATGGTGATGGGGAGATACTGGAAAAATGTTGTTGTTCATTCGTTCAGTCGTCTTCGACTCTTCGTGACCTCATGGACCAGCCCACGCCAGAGCTCCCTGTCGGCCGTCACCACCCCCAGCTCCTTCAAGGTCAGTCCAGTCACTTCAAGGATGCCATCCATCCATCTTGCCCTTGGTCGGCCCCTCTTCCTTTTACCTTCCACTTTCCCCAGCATAATTGTCTTCTCTAGGCTTTGCTGTCTCCTCATGGAAAAATAGATATTTATTTATGCATATATTGTATGTACATTACAAGCATTGAAATGTAAGAAAAAATCAAGTTCTCTCTGTATCATAAACCTAAGCTGACAGGACAAGCCAAGCTGCTGTCCAGGCAAAGCAAGAGGGGGATGAACAGATAAGCCCATCCTAGCACCAACAGAGATAAGTAAAAAGTAAGGAGCCTATCTCCCTCCCTCCTGACAGGTCAAAGTAGGCCCCTTGATTGATGAATGTAAGCTGTAAGCTGTATGCTGCTCTCAGAAAAAATATAGAGACATGCCTCTTGCATGTTGGAAGATAGAATCGGATATTTCTATGATGCTAAAGTGACATGATGTCAATGTATGTAAAAGCATGTTTCTTTGTTTGTCTGCATTTGTAGAGTTATAAAAGGCACAGTCAATGCCTTTATCTCACACTCTGGTTTGCTTTTGGACACAACTCCTCACTAGAGTCCCAGCTGGAAATAAATGTACTTTTCTTTCTCCAGAAAGGATCTCTCTTGATATCATCTCTCTTGCTGCTACAATGGGACATTACTCCCTGACTTCCTATAGGTGTGTATCAAGCACATTGTTTCAATCTTTCCTTTGCAGCCTTGGAAATATTGTCAAAGGCTTTCATGGCCAGAATCACTGGGTTGTTGTAGGTTTTTTGGGCTATATGGCCATGTTCTACGGCTCAAAAAACCTACAACAACCCAACCTTGGAAGTAGTTTTGGGACCATTTCCCAGAGGCAGAGCTTGGGAAAAGTTGCTATCCAAGATCCCACAGTGGTCAGAGGATGCTAACCCACTCCTCAACCCCATTCTGGTTTTAGTTGGAAGAAGGAGGAATTGGACTGATACAGCTATTAGTGCTGTGCAAAAAAAGTCGTTTGTGCCTCGTATCTCCTATTATTTTGTAAGATCTGTATAGGTAAAAGTAAAGGTTGTCCCCTGACATTAAGTCCAGTCATGTCTGACACTGGGGTGTGGTGCTCATCTCCATTTCTAAGCCGAAGAGCCGGCATTGTCCATAGACCAGAGTATAATATAGCAGGAGCGGGAAATGAATGTAAAGCAAGACTATGGCACTCTGAAGTTGTAACATACCAAACAGTCAATAATGATCTATGGGGTGATACTTTGGCTGCTGAATGCATCATGGAGGAGGAGAGGCTTCCGTTAACCGGGGAGCCCCCATAGAAGTCGTGGTGGGGAGGGGGAGATACGGGAAAGGGAGACCTTTAATTCGGCCTAGGGATCGTGGAACAACATTAGTAATTCCAAATCAGTCTCCTGATATGGTAAGTTGGTGTAACCAGGATGGCGGTCCCTCCGAATTGAAAGTGGTGCTGTTGAACGCCAGATCTGTCAATGGTAAAACAACTTTCATCCAGGATTTAATCCTGGATGAACGGGCAGATCTGGCGTGCATCACAGAGACCTGGTTGGACGAAGCGGGAGGTGTAAACTTGACCCAGCTTTGCCCGCCAGGTTTCTCTGTGCAGCACCAACCGAGATCCGGAGGGCGGGGAGGCGGAGTTGCAGTGGTCTATAGAGATTCCATTCTTCTGACCAGGGCCCCCATCCCGCAGTCAACAAATTTTGAATGCGTCCACCTGAGGGTGGGTGACCGGGACAGATTAGGGATTCTGTTAGTGTACCGTCCACCTCGCTGCACTACAGTCTCCCTGCCTGAGCTAGCGGGGGTGGTCTCGGACCTGGCATTGGAGGCCCAACGGCTGCTTGTGCTGGGGGACTTCAATGTCCATGCCGAGGCCTGCCCTAACGGGAGCGGCTCAGGACTTCATGTCTACCATGGCAACCATGGGGCTGTCCCAACAGGTATCTGGCCCCACCCACAGTGCTGGACATACATTGGACTTAGTTTTTTATCAGGGATGGGAGGAAGGTGGCGGTGTTGAGGAGTTATCCATCTCTCCGTTGCCATGGACCGACCACCACCTGGTCAGCTTTGGACTCACTGCACCCCCTAACCTCCGCAGAGGTGGAGGACCCATTAAGCTGGTCCGCCCCAGGAGGCTTATGGATCCGGATGGATTCCTGACGGCTCTTGGGGAATTTCCCGCTACCTCGGTAGGTGATCCTGTTGATGCCCTGGTCGCTCTCTGGAATGGGGAGATGACTAGGGCAATAGACACGATCGCTCCGGAACGTCCCCTCTCAAGTAGCCGAGCTAAACCAGCTCCTTGGTTTAACGAGGAGCTGGCAGCGATGAAGCGAAAGAAGAGGGAACTAGAGAGCGTGTGGCGTTCGGATCCGAGCGAGCCAAATCGAACACGGTTTGTGTCCTTTTTAAGGGCATATGCCGCGGCAATAAAAGCCGCAAAGAAGACTTTCTTTGCGGCCACTATTGCGTCTGCAAAGAACCGTCTGGCTGAACTGTTCCGAGTTGTCAGAGGCCTGTTAAAACCCACCACTCAGGATGGGTGCCCTGATGACTCGGCAGCTCGCTGTGAAGCTTTTGCTCAGTTCTTTGCAGACAAAGTCGCTTTGATCCGCTCTGGACTGGATACCATATTAACAGCAGTCTCTGAGGATGTAACACGAGCATCTGCTTGTCCAGTTTTGATGGATTCATTTCAATTGGTTCAATCCGAGGATGTGGACAAGGTGCTTGGAGGAATGAGAGCTACCACATGCATCCTAGACCCCTGCCCATCCTGGCTTCTGAAGGAGGCCAGAGGGGGATTGGCCGAGTGGGTGAAGGTGGTGGTTAATGCCTCCCTTCGGGAGGGCAAAATTCCAGCCAGCTTAAAGCAAGCTGTGATAAAACCGCTGTTGAAAAAACCATCACTGGACCCCACTCAATTCGTCAACTATCGGCCTGTTTCCAATCTCCCCTTCTTGGGCAAAGTCATGGAACGTGTGGTGGCCTCACAACTCCAGGCATTCTTGGTAGACACGGATTATCTGGACCCGGCACAGTCTGGCTTTAGGTCGGGACATGGTACCGAGACAGCCTTGGTCGCCTTAGTGGATGATCTGCGTCGGGAGCTCGACAGGGGGAGTGTGTCCCTGTTGGTGCTGCTGGACCTCTCAGCGGCCTTCGATACCGTCGACCACGGTATCCTTCTGAGACGCCTCATGGGGATGGGTCTTGGAGGTACTGTTCTGCAGTGGCTCCGCTCATTCCTCGAGGATCGGTCTCAGAAGGTGTTACTGGGAGACTCCTGTTCAACCCCACAACCTTTGTCTTGTGGGGTTCCTCAGGGTTCAATACTGTCTCCCATGTTGTTTAACATCTACATGAAGCCGCTGGGCGAGATCATCCGGAGTTTCGGAATGCGATGTCATCTGTACGCAGATGATGTCCAACTCTGTCACTCCTTTCCACCTGCTACTAAGGAGGCTGTCGAGGTCCTGAACCGGTGCTTGGCCGCTGTGACGGTCTGGATGGGGGCGAACAAATTGAAAGTGAATCCAGACAAGACAGAGGTACTCCTGGTTAGTCGTAAGGCCGAACAGGGTATAGGGTTACAGCCTGTGTTAGACGGGGTCGCACTCCCCCTGAAGACGCAGGTTCGCAGTTTGGGTGTGATCCTGGACTCATCGCTGAGCCTGGAACCCCAGGTTTCGGCGGTGACCAGGGGAGCATTCGCACAGTTAAAACTTGTGCGCCAACTGCGACCGTACCTTGGGAAGTCTGACTTGGCCACGGTAGTCCACGCTCTGGTTACATCCCGTCTTGACTACTGCAACGCTCTCTACGTGGGGTTGCCTTTGAAGACGGCTCGGAAGCTCCAATTAGTCCAACGGGCGGCAGCCATGATACTAACCGGAGCGGGACGCAGGGAGCATACAACTCCTCTGCTGTACCAGCTCCACTGGCTGCCGATTTGCTACCGGGCTCAATTCAAAGTGCTGGCGCTGGCCTTTAAAGCCCTAAACGGTTCTGGCCCAACCTATCTATCCGAACGTATCTTGGCCTATCAGCCCACCAGGACCCTAAGATCTTCTGGGGAGGCCCTGCTCTCTATCCCGCCTGCTTCACAGGTGCGGCTGGCGGGAACGAGAGACAGGGCCTTTTCTGTGGTGGCCCCTCGGCTTTGGAATGCCCTCCCCATAGAGGTAAGATCAGCCCCTTCGCTGATGGTATTTCGAAAAAGGTTGAAGACATGGATGTTTAAACAAGCATTCGATTAATTCGGTGCAACGAAATTGATGAACAAGGATTAGTTAATCACAGACGACGAAATTGGATTGCGATTATAATTAAGAGATGCATTGGATTGTTATTGGTGGCCCAATAATATTATGTATTGTGTATGTGTTTTTATGCTTTTTTAATGGAATATTGTTGCTTGTTGTTGTGTTGTAAACCGCGTTGAGTCGCCGATTTAGGCTGAGAAACGGCGGTATACAAGCGCAGTAATAAATAAATAAATAACTAAATAAATAATAAATAAATAGACACATCCAAGGTCATGTGGCCAGCATGACTGCATGGACTGCATTTTCAACCCCATGGGTTGAGAAGAGTGGGGTAGAAATGTAAATAAATAAAATAAAATGCTTGACTTCCTTCTCCCCATTCCTCCGGCATGGCTGCCGGTCCATTTCTGAGCACAATTCAAAGTGCTGGTCTTGGCCTGTAAAGCCCTATACGACTCCGAACCAGCTTACTTGTCCGAATGTATCTCCCTCTACATTCCGCCTCATAGTTTAAGATCCACCGGGGAGGCCCTGCTCCCGGTCCCACTGGCCTCACAAACGCGTCTGGTGGAGACAAGGGACAGGGCCTTCTCGGTGGTGGCCCCCCGCTTGTGGAATTTGCTCCCCGGTGAGATTAGATCGGCATCCTCCCTCCTTCCCTTTAGGAAAAAAACCACCAAAAATCGTGGTTTTGGAACCAGCTTTTTGGCTAGGAGGCAGAACGGCACTTTGGACATTGAATTGGACCACATGATGATTGTTATGATAATGGAAACAGCTATGATTATATAATTAATATTATTGTTTTAATCTATTGTGTTTTTATGGTTTTATATTGTTGTTACGTTGTAATATTGTGGCATCGAATTGTTGCCAGTGTTAGCCGCTCTGAGACCCCCCTCAGGGGTTGAGAAGGGAGGGGTAGAAATGTTGTAAATAAATGAAATAAATTGCTTGCCCTCCTTCTCCCCTTCCCTCCGGCATCTTTCTTTTTTGTCTCCCAGCCCCACCCTTCACACATACTTCCCTCCCAGTCACTCAGTTGAGGGTTATCAACACATCTCAGGCCAGGGCTTGCAATCTTTCTTCCAACTCTATGATTTTAAGATGCCTTAAAACCTTCAATTGCGCCCTGAGGTCAAAGTGAGGCTCACCTGTCTCAACGTGGAAGGTGAGCTTGTCTACCGCTTCATCAAAGGGCCTCCTGGAGAAGTGCAGCGTCACAAAGAAGGTCTGGCCTCGGCGCACAAGGAGACGCTGGGAACCAGCATCGGAGGTCCGGTGGTCCTCATTGTTGCGCTCGCAAAGGAGGTCCCATGCTGCCAACTCCAGTACTGCCAAGGCAAGAGAGAAAGTTGGGAGAGGTATTTTGGCATCAGAATAAGAATGGATGCAGAATGGATGTAGTTTGGCACCTCTTATCTGCCCTGAGTCAATGCTATGAAGTCCCAGGGTTGGAGTTATGCTATGGAGTTGGAAGGGACCCCCAAAGGTCATCTAGTCCAACGTTTTGCTCAGTGCAGGAAAACACTAATGTAGCCGGTGGTGACCCTCCCCCCTCCCAATAAAAGATAGTTCATAATTAGGGAATTCATAGTTTTGCCCAGGACACCAGGTTGGAATGATATAATAAGAGTTAAGTTCTGGCCACTCTGCAGAAGGACTAACAACCGTAACAAGGACCTATCTCTTCCCAACCCTGCATGCCCCCTTATCCTTTTATGAACCCCTGTATACGCCCCATGTCCCCAATAATTTCATATATGTACTAGCTGTCCCTTGCCACGCATTGCTGTGGCCCAGTCTGTTGATCTGAAAAATAAAGTAACAAGAAAGTATTGGTTTCTAATATATGTAATGTCTTTCTGTTTGTGGGTAAACAGTATTTCTTGCTATTTCTTTGTCAGCGTTGATGTGGAGAGTGTCTGGTTTGCCCACCCTGGAACATGCAACATATCATTGTCCTTTTTTAAGGTTCCTTTTCAAATCTATGATACTATATCTCTCTGTGTGTGAATCATATCTATCTATCTATCTATCTATCTATCTATCTATCTATCTATATCTATCTATGGCTGGATGGCTCTTTGTCAGGAGGACTTTGATTACGTTTTCTTGCCCTGGTGAAGGGAGTTGGATTAGATGGCCTTAAGTATTTTCTGTTGATCATGGGGGTTCTGTGTGGGAAGTTTGCCCTGATTCTGTCTTTCGTGGGGTTCAGAATGCTCTTTGATTGTAGGTGAACTGTGAATTCCAGTGACTACAACTCCCAAATGTCAAGATCTATTTCCCCCAAACTCCATCTGTGTTCATATTTGGGCGTATTGAGTGCTTGTGCCAAGTTTGGTCCAGATCCATCATTGTTTGAGTCCACAGTGCTCTCTGGATGTAGGTGAACTACAACTCCCAAATGTCAAGGTCCATTTCCCCCAAACTCCATATTTGGGCGTAATGAGTGCTTGTGCCAAGTTTGGTCCAGATCCATCATTGTTTGTGTCCACAGTGCTCTCTGGATGTAGGTGAACTACAACTCCCAAACTCAAGGTCAACAGAAAAACTCCAGTATTTTCTGTTGGTCATGGGAGTTCTGCGTACCTAGGTTGGTTCAATTCCATCGTTGATGGATTTCGGAATGCTCTTTGATTGTAGGTGAACTATAAATCCCAGCAACTACAATTCCCAAATGACAAAATCATAATTTTTTGAGTGATGGTCACTCCTTGTGTTGTGAGACGTTTTGTTGCCGAATTTGGTGTGATTTCGTTCATTGGTTCTTTTGTTTTTAAGGTACTCATTATGCACAGAGCATTTTTATATAGAGAGATGTATTAAACATGATGCAAGGTGACCTTTTTATGACCTCTGGACAGCTCTTCCTGACTCAGGTGCCACAAGCTTCCCTGGGTCTGCATTTGTTGAATGGACTCTCAAGCATTTCACAATACAGACAATAGCTTGATGGCCCCTTTTCTTAAGCCTCGGAGGATCTGTCCACTTAAGAATTGGGTACCCATTTGGACACTTTAATGGCTCTTCACAAAAGATATTTCCCCTCTGTGACGAGAAGGAGATGTTGCAGTCCCTCCAACAATGATGTTCCCCTTCCCAGAAGAATGGATCCACAAGATCCCATCACGAAACCAGTATCACTGTACTTTTGAACAACGGACTGGCTCTGAGAGGCCAGACAGAAATGTTATTTCAAAACTCTATATCGATAGCCAGGTCGGGCTTGAAGGTTTACAACAAGCGTATAGGTTGCTTTTCAATAGGGTCCAGTATGGGCCACTCATAATCCCATCATTTAGTACTATTTTCCTTTGTTTTTACTGTTGCTGCGCCTCCTTTCACATCATTGGCTGAGCGGCCGAAGTGGGGCTTGGGCTCTCATTGGACAAGCCGCACCAGCCCCCGGCCACACTTCCCAGCTTAGTGACATCACTGCTCAAGCAGGGAGCTTTGAGATGGTTGAACAGAAGCTTCCGAAGCTCTAGGTGCTCTTACTGCCTATTACAGGGAAAACCAGCTGATCCCCAACCCATCTAAAACACAGACATGTGCTTTTCATCTCAAGAACAAAGAAGCATCCCGAGCTCTGAGGATCACCTGGGAAGGAATCTCACCAAGTGAGAGTCCAAAAGTGGCAGGCTCAAACCCAGAACCTCAACATGGGTGATACCAGATGAGAGACTCCCCCCTGGGCACACAGAAGACTGGGCGACTTGGAAGGCGCTGAACAGACTGTGCTCTGGCACCACGAGATGCAGAGCCAATCTTAGGAAATGGGGCTACAGGGTGGAATCCTCGGCATGCGAGTGCGGAGAAGAACAAACCACTGACCACCTGCTGCAATGCACCCTGAGCCCTGCCACATGCACAATGGAGGACCTTCTTGCGGCAACCCCAGAGGCACTCCAAGTGGCCAGATACTGGTCAAAGGACATTTAACCAAATACCAAATTTGCAAAATCTGTGTGTTTTTTTTCTTTCTTTCTTTCTTTTTTCTTTTTTTCTTTTTAATCTCTGTGTTTGTTTTGCTCTGTTAGAATTGTAATACAATGGTTGCTGATGACACGATAAATAAAAATTTAAATCTCTCCTGACATTTTGCCTGCATCTATGGCAGGCATCCTCAGAGGTTGTGAGGTCTGTTGGAAACTAAGAAAAAAGGGTTTATATATCTGTGGAAAGTCCAGGGTGGGAGAAAGAACTCTTGTCTGTTGGAGCTAGGTGTGAATGTTTCAATTGGCCATCTTGATTAGCATTTGATGGCCTGGATGTTTTTTAGTGTGGCGGGGGGCTGAGTTTTTTCAGGGGGGGTTCGGGGGGGGGGTGAATTTCAGGGTGGGCTGAGTCTGAGTGAAAGAGGGTCTACCCTAGCAAACCTTTTGTATCATTACCCCAATACCCCATGCATATGGGATATATTGAGTAGGGTGATCAGATCATGATATGAATAAACATAACAGTTTAAATAATGCACCAGTAAGGCCTTTTCGCGAACCACCATGAGAATTTCGGGGGGGGGGGGCTGAAGGGCCGGGGGGCGGGGGGGGGGGGCCGAAGCCCCTCAAGCCCCCCCCCCCAGGGGGGGGGGCCCCCCCCCCCCCCCTCCCGTATGCTAGCCCTCCCAGGAAGTATTTCTCCCCCATCCCTTTTCTTTTTTATATTGTCCCAATTCCCCTCCCTACCCCCCCCCCCCCCCCCGTCCCCCCCCCCCGTTCCTGTTGACTTTTAGACCACCCTTGATTTAGGAAAGAGAAAATAATAAATGGCGTGGCTGAATCTATATAAATAAAAATGTAATGTTCGTTTGTGAGATTAACATAACTCAAAAACCACTGGACGAATTGACACCAAATTTGGACACAACACACATAACAAGTGTCCATCACCCCTAAACACACACACACAATCCCAGCGGAACAGACTTAAAAAACCCCAAAATACACAATATATACACATACACTCATATACATATGCACATGCACACATTCATACACACACACGCATATATATGCACAAAAACAAATATGCACACACATATATATGCATATACCCATGCACACATACATATATACATAGACACATGCACACACGTATGCACAATATGCATGTACACATATAAACACACAAATACACAAATATATACACACACATATATATACATACATACACATGCACAGAGATATACATATACACATACATACACACATATACACACGAATATGCATATAGATAAGCACACACATATGCACAATATGCATGTACACATATAAACACACAAATACACAAATATATACACACATATATATACATACATACACATGCACAGAGATATACATATACACATACATACACACACATATACACACAAATATGCATATAGACAAACACACACATATACACAATATGCATGTACACATATAAACACACAAATACACAAATACACACACACACACATATACATACATAGACATGCACAGAGATATACCTATACACATACATACACACATATACACACAAATATGCATATAGATAAACACACACATATACACAATATGCATGTACACATATAAACACACAAATACACAAATATACACAGACATATATATACACAAATACACATATATACACAAATGTATACACACATATAAACACACACAAAACACATACACAGACTGGGTCACAGCAACGCATGGCAGGGGATGGCTAGTCAAGAGATAAAATGGGATACAAATACATCAAACGACAACAGCAACAACAATCCCCCCTCCCTTATTATGCAGGGAAAAGAGAAAAACTTTGCAAGGAGGCCTTCAGCGCTGTAAACCTCACACCATGGACGATGTCCTTTCGACCTGAAATTGCTCTCAATAGACCAGAAACTCTGGCAAGTGTCACAGCAATTTTACAGGGATCTCAAGCGGAGATAAAGAAACGTGAAGCCAAAGTGCGAGGTCCCTGATAAGACCATGCCCTTCCTGTTCACAAGGATGCAGACATGTCAGGAATTAGCAATGAATTCTCATCTTCAGGAGAGCGATGGAGGAGATAACAAAGATGGAGGAGAGAGAGGGCAACCAGGAACGTTCTTCAAAATCCAGACTAATTTCCCTCTTTGCACTGGCTTGTGGGACAGACATTGAGTGCATCTACACCACTGTTTCTCAATCTGGGGGTTGGGACCCCTGAGTGGGCCTCAAGGGAGAGGAGATTCCATCTGAACATGAGGAAGAACTTCCTGACTGTGAGAGCCGTTCAGCAGTGGAACTCTCTGCCCCGGAGGGAGTGTGGTGGAGGCTCCTTGTTTGGAAGCTTTTAAACAGAGGCTGGATGGCCATCTGTCAGGGGTGATTTGAATGCAATATTCCTGCTTCTTGGCAGGGGGTTGGACTGGATGGCCCATGAGGTCTCTTCCAACTCTTTGATTCTATGATTCTATGATTCTAAGGGGTCAAAGACAATCAAAGACCATCAGAAAACACATATTTCTGATGGTGTTAGGATCCTCTTTGACAGAGAAGGCTGAAGATCTCTCCGCCTCTCCTCTTCTTCCTTTTTGGAAACAGACGGTGAATCCTCCCACCGAAAGCCCTCCATCTGCTCTCTGGATGAAATTGAACTACAACTCCAGAACTCAAGGTCAATGCTCACCAAACCTTTCCAATATTTTGTGTTGGTCATGGGAGTTCTGTGTGCCAAGTTTGGCCCAATTCCATCGTTGGTGGAGTTCAGAATGCTCTTTGATTGAAGGTTAATTATAAATCCCAGCAACTCCAACTCCAAAATGTCAAGATCTTTTTTCTCCAAACTCCACCAGTATTCACATTTGGGCATATTGAGTATTCATGCCAAGTTGGGTCCAGATGCATCATTGTTACAGTCCACAGTGTTCTCTGGGTGTAGGTGAACTACAACTCCAAAACTCAAGGTCAATGTCCACCAAAACCTTCCAGTATTTTCTATTAGCCATGGGAGTTCTGTGTTCCAAGATTGGTTCAGTTCCATCGTTGGTGGAGTTCAGAATGCTCTTTGATTGCAGGTTAATTATAAATCCCAGTAACTACAACTCCCAAATGTCAAGATCCTTTTTCTCCAAACTCCACCAGTATTCACATTTGGGCATATTGAGGATTCATGCCAAGTTTGGTCCAGATCCATCATTGCTTGAGTCCACAGTGCTCTCTGGATGGAGATGAACTACAACTCCCAAACTCAAGATCAGTGCCCATCAAACCTTTCCAGTATTTTTTATTGGTCATGGGAGTTCTGTGTGCCAAGGTTGGTTCAATTCCATCATTGGTGGAGTTCAGAATTCTCTTTGATTGTAGGTTAACTATAAATCCCAGTTAACCATAACTCCCAAATGATGAAATCAACCCCTACCCCACCCCACCCCATCCCACCAGTATTCAAATATGGGCGTATTGGGTATGTGTGCCAAATTTGTGCCAGTGAATGTGAATACATCCTGCATATCGGATATTTACATTATGATTCATAACAGTAGCAAAATTACAGTTTTTTTGTAGCAATGAAAATAATTTTATGGTTGGAGAACTGTATTAACACAGTTCCACAACATGAGGAACTGTACTAAGGGGTCGCAGCATTAGGAAGATTGAGAAGCACCGGTCTACACCAAAGAATGAATGCAGTTTGACATCATTTTTACTGCCAAGGCTCAACACAATGGAATCACCTTGAAGAACTGCAACAACCAGAATTTCACAGCAGTGAGCCATGAGAGTTAAAGTGAAGTTTAACTGCATTCATTCTTCAATTTAGATGCACGCATAGACTCAGACTCCATAGGAAAGGATAACCTTTTAAACACAGAAGGGTTTTTTTTTCCATGTCAGGAGCGGCTAACTAACAAAATGAAGTTCAACAGGGACAAATGCAAGATACTCCACTTTGGCAGGAAAAACGAAATGTAAAGAGAAAGAATGGGGGACAATGCCTGGCTCGAGAGCAATACATGTGAAAAAGATCTTGGAGTCCTCATGGACAACAAGTTAAACATGAGCCAACAATGTCATGTGGCAGCAAAAAAAGCCAATGAGATTTTGGCCTGGATCAATAGGAGCATAATGTCTGGGTCCAGGGAAGTAAGCTCCCCATGCTCTATTCCGCTTTGGTCAGACCACACCTGGAATATTGTGTCCAATTCTGGGCACCACAATTGAAGAGAGATATTGACAAGCTGGAATGTGTCCAGAGGAGGGCGACTAAAATGATCAAGGGTCTGGAGAATAAGTCCTATGAGGAGCGGCTTAAGGAGCTGGGCATGTTTAGCCTGAAGAAGAGAAGGCTGAGAGGAGATATGATAGCCATGTATAAATATGTGAGAGGAAGCCACAGGGAGGAGGGAGCAAGCTTGTTTTCTGCTTCCTGGAGACTAGGACGCAATGGAACAATGGCTTCAAACTACAAAAGAGGAGATTCCATCTGAACATGAGGAAGAACTTCCTGACTGTGAGAGCTGTTCAGCAGTGGAACTCTCTGCCCTCGAGTGTGGTGGAGGCTCCTTCTTTGGAGCTTTTAAACAGAGGCTGGATGGCCATCTGTCAGGGGTGATTTGAATGCAATATTCCTGCTTCTTGGCAGAATGGGGTTGGACTGGATGGCCCAGGAGGTCTCTTCCAACTCTATGATTCTATGTAAGTCGCATTATCCCCCATTATGTCTCTTTGCATTTCCTTTTTGCTAAGTGGAGTATCTTGCATTTGTCCCTGTTGAACTTCATTTTGTTTGGCCAACCATCCCTCTAATCTGTTAAGATCGTTTTGAATTCTGATCCTGTCTTCTGGAGTCTTGGCTGGAGACGGGAGCAGAATTCAAGAAGATCTTAACCAAAGAAGGACTGTGGAGCAAAGTCCCATTAACCCTGCAAAGTGTCCTTCTCTTTGTGCATTTATTACCTGTCGCCATGCTGTTGTCCTCTGGACAGGTCTGAATGCCTTCTATTCTCTGCTTGGCTCCTTCTTTGGCTTCTTCTGCCCGCCTTCAGTTCAACTCTGCAAACCCACCTCCATATATATTGTCATCCAAATAACACACCCATCAACTGGCTGGGTATCAGGCCATCGCAATAATGCAAGTGGGGCAGAGAAGGAAAACCAAAGGCTTTCCCAGGAAATGTCAAGTCTGCACTTTTTCAAGAAAACACACACACCTGGGAATGAGATATTTACAAGATTGGGGCAGTGGATGACACAGGATTGGGGTTGGTCAAGCTAGCTGGCTCCTTGGCATCTCAGCAAAGTCTCCCTCTCTCATGTTTGCATAGTGAAGATCTACTTGATTTGATCACTGAAGGATTTATAGCCTACTCTTGGAGATCTCAGGCTGGCTTGCCATCAAAGCAATCGAATGGATTTAAAGCAAAAACCGTTTTTAAAAATTATAGAATTAGAAGCACTCCTAGGGTCATCCAGTCCAACATTCTTTTACCACCTAGGAAGACACAATCCCAACCCTCCCAACAGATGCCCATTCAGCCTCTGTTTAACAGCCTCCACCACAGCCCCAGGGAGTAGCGTATTACATTGTGAAACAGCTCTTAACATTAATAAGTTCTTCCTCTGACTTAGGAAGACAGTTCATAGAATCTTAGAGTTGGAAGAGACCTCAAGGGTCATCTAGTCCAACCCTCTCCTGCCATTTGGAAACACAATTCAAGTCTTCCAAACAGACAGCCACCCAGCCTCTGCTTGAAGATGTTTCAAATCAATGGCCTGAATTATTTTCTTTTGCATCGCTGAATCCTTGAGTTGGAAGAGACCCCAAAGCCATCCAGTTCAACTCTTTTCTGCCATGCAAGCCCTCCTGACTGATGGCCAACCAGCCTGTGGTTAAAAAAAAAAAAACATCCAGAGAAGGAGACTCTGTTGGAGCATGTAAAAATCAGTTGGTGAGTGTGTAAACTGAAAAATGTAAAGCATAAATTTGATTGATCAATAGATACTGCTTCTGCGGGAAAGTAAAATGAAGGAAACACTGAGCAGCATTCAGTGGACACAGATACTAAAAGACAAGGGAGTTACGGATGGATGGGAATTTCTCAAGAGTGAAATACTCAAGGCGCAATTGCAAACCGTGCCAACAAAGAGAAAAAATAGGACAAGTGCAAAGAAGCCAGAATGGATGTCCAAAGAACTTCTAACTGTGCTGAGACACAAAAGAGACATGCACAAGAACTGGAAAAAGGGAGAAATCACCAAAGAAGAATTCAAACAAATAGCCAACAGATGTAGGGAAAAGGTCCGCAAGGCTAAAGCACAAAACGAGCTCAGACTTGCCAGGGACATTAAAAACAATAAAAAGGGCTTCTATTCTTATGTCAGTAGAAAAAGGGAAAAACAAGGAGGCGATAGGGCCTCTTCGAGGAGAAGATGGGCCAATGCTGACAGGGGATAGGGAAAAGGCAGAACTACTTAATGCCTTCTTTGCCTCGGTCTTCTCACAAAAAGAAAGTCATCTTCAACCTCAGCAAGATGGAGTGGATGAGGGATTAGAGGACATCCAACCCCAAATTGGGAAACAAGTCATCCAGGAATACCTGGCCGCTCTAAATGAGTTCAAGTCCCCAGGGCCAGATCAACTACACCCAAGAGTATTGAAGGAACTAGCGGAAGTCATTTCGGAACCATTGGCAACCATCTTTGGGAGTTCTTGGAGAACGGGAGAAGTTCCAGCAGATTGGAGGAGGGCCAATGTGGTCCCAATCTTCAAGAAGGGAAAAAAGGATGACCCAAACAACTACCGTCCGGTCAGCCTCACGTCGATACCGGCAAGATTCTGGAAAAGATTGTCAAGGAAGTGGTCTGCAAACACTTAGAAACAAATGTGGTCTCTTCCAACTCTTTGATTCTATGAGTCTATAATGGCACTCCATGCAGTCATGCTGGCCACATGATCTTGGAGGTGTCTACGGACAATGCCGGCTCTTTGGCTTATAGATGGAGATGAGCACCAGCCCCCACAGTCGGACACAACTAGTCTTAATGTCAGGGGGGAAACCTTTGTCTTTACTTACCTTAGAAACAAATTTGGATTATAAAAGTACTAAAATGGGCAAAAAATGGTCAAGAGAACTTTTATTATTTTTATTATTATTCATTATTAAACTTTATTTGTACCCCGCTAGCATCTCCCGCAGGACTCGATGCGGCTTACAAAGGCCAAGGCCACAACACAACAACAGCAAAACAAGAACAATACAATTCAAAGCAAATTAAAAACACAAGCAATAACAAAACATTACCCCATTACGCAATAAAAACCAGGGCCAGGCCAGTGATGGGTACAAGTTAAAAAGTGCTGGGTGTGGCAGGAGGTATGTTGGATTTCCGGGCAAGTGCAATGTGCAGAGAGTCTTAAACTCTAATAAAGTGCTTCTGGGACGTAGTGCTGGAGATTATCCTATTCTGGAAAGGCACATCGGAATAGCCAGGTCTTCAAGCTCTTCCTGAAGACTGCCAACGTGGGTGCTAGTCTAATGTCTTTGGGGAGGGTGTTCCAGAGTCGGGGGGCAACCACAGAGAAGGCCCTGTCCCTCGTCCCCACCAAACGCGCCTGTGACGCAGGTGGGATCGCAACTTTGAAGCTGCAAGACCATTCAATGCGAATCAAGGTGACCAATTGCAACATTCAAACCTCCCTCAAGCAGACAAGAGTTCTTTCTCCCATCCTGGACACTATTTCACAGTTATATAAATCTCGCTTGTCTAGTTTCCAACAGACCTCACAACCTCTGAGGATGCCTGCCATAGATGTGGGTGAAACGTCAGGAGAGAATGCTTCCACAACATGGCCGTATACCCCGGAAAACTCAGAGCCACCCAATATGGATACCATGTCACGAAAATACAATAATGCTCAGAGAGGTAGGAAGGCAGCAGAGAAAGGGGACAACTGTATTACAAATGAATGTCACGGGGAAAGCTGTTCAATAAAAGAGAAGTCAGCTCAACATTTTGCAAAAGAATATTAACCATTTCAGCTCTCCGTAAAGAAAAAAAGAAAATTGTAAAAACACTGATAGATTTGGGGTTTACACAATATATTGAGTTAACTAGGTAGAATGAAAAAGTTGTGTCAGATATGAAGTTAGCAGAATATTTTCATGTTATGTCTTCAAGGTGGGAAGCTTATTTTAACAGTTTAATGGATTCATTAAGAGAAGGACAGCAGAAATAGGTTTTGAGGAGGTGTATTGGTGTCAAGATACTTATATCGCTGAAAAAAAATAAATACATAGATTGGGAATAAAGCCAATGCCCTACACATCTAGGCTTGCCTTTTGGGAATCTATTTAATTATATTTATTCAAGTATGTATAGCTCGCCTTGTATCTCAGGGCGGCATGCCCTCAAAGCGGTCTGATGGATTTAAAGCAGTATCAATAAGTATAAAAAAATATTTTATGGCTGAGAGGAGACATGATGGCCATGGATAAAGATGTGAGGGGAAGTCCCAGGGAGGAGGGAGCAGGTGTCATGAATGACTTTGCAATCACTTCAAAGCATAGGTTCTTTTTATTGCAATTTCCAGTGTGAGAGGGTAGATCAGATTACAGAAAACATTTAGACAAAGAATGGCATTGGACATACAGACATATGTATTTTATGCAACTACATTGGGTTTACAATTACATTGGTTAACAAACGAACAAAGGGGAAATACATTTTCACTCAACATTCACACACATGTACATGCATTCATCTACATGCATCCAAAGTATTACCATATCCTTTTCTCCCTCCTTGGAGAAGCACCTGTTAGGCTAGACCTTGCTTTCCTGCAGCCTGCCAACGCATCGTTTCATAACTTCCATAATGCCATAACTTCAAAATGCCGAAATGCCAAAACTTCTTTCCCTAAGAACAATGCCAAGGACCAGATCTCTGTTTTCCATACAAAAGAACCTGACTCCCTGCACAAAATCCAAGACTCCAAAAGTGCATTTTTCCTCTTCCCTTGAGAAAGGAGCCCCCAAGTGACCAGACTGCTCTCGTCCAAATCTGCCACTCTCCATAGGTACACTATCTCTCTCCTTCCCATGGAGCAGAGCATGCCGGGCGGAACAGACTCCTCAGGTCTGCCACACTTTGAGCATTATTAGATTGAGTCCTTTATAGGAATATTCTGTTGATGTAGTCCCAAAATTGCAAATTAATGGTAGACATCTTCCATCCTGGCTCCATCTCAGTTTTCTGGCCAGATGTTGACTCTTCTTGATTGGTGTTGACAAACACAAGGCTTGTGTTGACTTCGTTCTTAACATAAGGAATGTTGCAAACATTTCTCTTAATTTGAAAGAACCACTGTCACAGTCCTTATCAGAGTTTACTTTTCAGTTCTTATTAGCAACTTTTAACTATAGTCTAGCAAGCAGGTAGATAGTCATTGCAGGCCTTAATATTATACTGGTGTCAGAAGAGACTGTGGGAACAAGTGCCTTTACAATACATTTGATTTTAGCTTTATACACTTAGGAATAAATATAACACACAAGTTACACAAAATCATTTATTAAAGTTTTGATAAAGTTTGGGGTATAGTTGCTGCTGGGTCCTCCCGAAGGTTTCAGCAGCTTCAGAACAATGAGACTGTGACATAGTAGAAAAGGTTTTTAAAAACATAAATAAAATAATATTTGTATGAAATCTTTCAAATGTCTTAATTAATTTGGGAAAGGTGTGTGGTGGCTCAATAACAATGTCGCTTTGATGCCACATGATTGTACGAGAGGCCATCAACAAGTGCCACACCGGGTTTGGTGCCGCTGAAAGGTCAGGACTCTTTCCCGCCTCTGCAACCCCACTGCATTAAAAATAGGCTTCTTCAAAAGATAAATGAAAACACATCAAATATAGATAAATAATTCAAAGCAATGTTAACTTACGACATATTTAATGTGAAGATGG